TTTCTCCACAAAAGACTTTGGAGTCTGTGGTTTGCTCAGTGTCAAAGTAGTGATGGATTCCAACACAAGCATAGCATCAAAACCTACAAAGAAAGTTGTAAAGGGATCTGGTAAGGTATGTCAGAAGACAGAATAATCATAAATCATAAAATGACCTTACCATGCCATCAGACATTAAAGAAACATGCTATGTTAGAAAGGTAGGCAGTTTAAAGGCACCCCCACACAGCGGTTTGGATGCCCCTCTGTTTGCCAGGTAAAAAACAAACCCAACAGGTGTTGCAGTGATGGAAGTGGGCAGGCATTATTCTAATAAGCTATTAAGGTTGTGTTTCTATGGAATTTGTAATTTTTTCAGTAATAAGCAGAAGGAGGGGATAACGTTTGATTTTAGTTTTCTCAAACTCAAAGCTATTAAACTCACTATTAAACATGGCAAAGAAAACCTTGAATATTTTTAAATTAGAAACTGGAACCAGGGAATTTTTTTTCTCCTATTTTGCTTGTAAAAATCATCCAGGTACTAAGTTTAGTGGAAGCTTATTAACTTGTGCTGAAGTTCCTCTTGACATGGTTAACAGTATGTTTGAACTAGACTTACAACTACAAAAGGTCATAGGGACGAGATATTTCAGAAGTTGTGATATGCGGAATGGGAAGATTTGAGTCTGTTGTTCATCCATGCTGACAACCCTGTCAGTGTACAGTGAGTTCATACTGCAGCACCTGGTATTGCCCACAAAGGGTTAATTTGGATCAAGCAGCTTGCAAAATGATTACTTTTGGAGAAAATCCTCAAACAGGACCGAGATAATCTCTGTTTAATATTGCAGCACGTTTGCAGTCACTGCTACATACACTATAATAAAACCACTAAAAGGAAGTGCTCATACATGCACATGTTCACACACATGCACGGACTCACCCATCTTAAACCACCTGCAGTGTGACCTTATATTTGCTTAATGAGGAGCTTAGTGAGATTTTTGCGTTTGTGTGTGTTTGTGTTAGATTCACCCCAGTGCCTACAGCATTAGAGCATAACTCAGCAGTGCATAATTCTCTGCTGTATTGTACTGTAGTGTGTGTTAAATGTCAAAGGAACATTTGAGTCCCTGCTTAGTACAACATTAATATCGGAATGTTTGAATGGAAACAAAAAAATCAACTCTTTTTCAGGCGTAAAGTCAGATTTCGAGGGATAATTTGAGCTAGCCAGTGCAGGCCAATCAAGTAACTCCTCACCAAACTGTTTAACTAAGTCCCGTGCTGTTTGCACAGGAGCCCAGTCATGGTTAAACAGTGAAGGGCCTTTCCCAAACTGTGCCTACAACTTTGGCAGTGCCAAATAGGCTTAAATACCTACATGTCCTGTAGAAACCCCTTCTGTACAACAAAGAATGCCTTCTGTAAAATGGCCCCATTATCAATCCTTCTCAAACCTTAACATCTGACATTGTGCGTATAACAGGGGTGTAGGGCCTCTACAGTATTCAGCCCAACTGCAGAGCTGGCACACATTATGGGGGTGTGACTCTGGTAAAAGACTCAAAGAGGCTGAGCCTCCGTTTACAATTGATTATCAAAGGGGAATTTATCTGACAATGACACTTTGGGAAAAAGAAAGCAACCTGCAGCTCAACAGCCACCAGACAAACTGAGATCAACTTGCTAGAGAGGCACACGTTTTTCTTAAAGGGCCAGTGACCCACCAACCATCTTTGGAAAGCACAACCTATCAATCCAATGTAAAAAACAATAATGTTTTTAGATAAGAAATAATGTTATTCTGGGAGGCAGAGACAATTAACACACTTAAGTCCTTCTACAACAAGAGGCTTACAGTGCATGCTGGTAGGTAGGGTTCTTGCACCCGCTGAATCCCGGTATATCAGTCAGACATGAAGGTGAAGCCTGATAGATCACGCCAAGGAATGTTCCAACAAGGCTTTCTGTGGTTGTCACTTTAAGCAGAGTTGTACAGTGTGTTGGCCAACATAGCGCACAGTCATGGTTCATATGGTCTGTTTGTAGCTGCTGGGCCGTGGTACATTCATACAGAAATAAAGGCCTGTACTAAGTTGTTCAGAGACTGTTTATCTATCAGTAGAAATTGCTACATGAAGATGAGCTGAAAAATTTTCATATTTCAGCTCTCACAAAAGAAAACGCATGCACAGGATCACAAAGCCACTGCGGGGTGTCTGTTTGACATTTGTTATTGAGCTGCAGAGTAAACTTTTTAGAGAGCTGACATTAGTCCTGAGAAGTTGATCAATACAACACAAGTCGGTCTGCTCGGTGGGAGGTGCTGGATGCATGTGAGGGATGCCTGCCTCTCCGTTTGTGTTTGGTGCATTATCCCTGTGTGTGTATGCGCATCTGCCCGTGTGCTGCTGTGTGTGTGTGTGTTTGCTGCAGTGCCCCTGCTGAAGGGCGAACAGTAAGGCCCTGGTCAGCATGATGTAGGTCTCCTGGGGCATCCTGGGGTTTTTGGGATCGATACTTTTCCTCCTGCATCTCCCTGCATCTCTGTCCTTATCCCCTCTCACCCACTGGCTTGACTTTGAGCTATTTATGGAATCTCTATGGATTACCGAGACCCCAACAATCAATGGGATAAACTTACTATAACTGTAATCCTGCTTTGTATCTCTGCTTGTGACTGCTTCTTGTCTTTATGTCTTGAAATATCTGAAATCACTTTGTGATGTTGCAAACACACACACACACACACACACACACACACACACACACACACACACACACACAAATTGAAACAAAATCTAGGGAATCTTGTATCAAATGCAGGTGCAGTATACTATGAGACTTACTACGGAAAATTACCTTCTGCTGGTCAAGTAAGAGTTTCTTTAGGATGGAAGTGGATTTTCTGCACCAACTTGGTAGTTTGCAAGAGTTTTTCACTGACTGGAGTTTTAGAAAAAAAATGCGTCACCCACCGTATAATTTGACGGTAAAATAAATATTTGTACCAGCTGCTGTTCATACCACATCTTAGAATAACAACGTTACTTTTAAGCTATTTTTGGAAAAGCCACAATGACATCAACCTCTTGAGAAGCAAATAAAACCCTTTTGTACTCAATAGATTTGTCTTTACTACTTTTCAACCAGTGACTCACTTTTAAATGAAGCCATTAAAAGTACTTTAAAAAAAGTTCTCCAGCCGTGATATGAGTCACAACATTTATTGGGACATTTAACAGATTATAAAATAAATTACAAGAACTGATGTGAAAGCTTGTGATTGAAAGACAACACCAAAATAGTGTATTTCAAGACCTTTTTAAAGAGGAAACAAATTAAATATTTTATTTGATGTCAAATATGACAGTTGTGCTTTTAAGGCTAGCTTTGGATAACTGGTTATTAATGATGTTTTTTTCTGTTAAGTCTAATATTATGCAGCAGTTTGTTCTGACCAAGCAATCTGATTATACAGTATGAGAGGTTTCCATGAGTGCTGATATAGATAACAACATCACTGGACGGAAATTTCTCAACTTTGTGTCCCCTGATACAAGTTTTCACTCACGTTCTTGAAAAGTTTGATCATAAAGTAACACCTGGCTCTAACGTTTTCATCATCAGCCCAAATTCTCAAAACACTGCACTACACTATACACATAGCAGATGTTTTTTTTTTGTCTTGATTGGTATGATAGATAGAACACCATTCCCCCATTAATACTTACAATTTAGGTTATAGTAGATTCATAACAGCAGTTCTACCCTTTAGATCAAACGTTTTATCACCAACATATCATACAGCACAATTCAACAGGTCACTCTCCCACTCTCGATCTGATTTTGCGATTTGTAACCCATCTGTGGTCATTGTGGTTTTTGCTCCTCACTGCAACAATAGCCCAGAGTTGAACACAATGGCACCCTGACCCCCTGTTTCCTTTAGTGGCAATCCTGATTAGCTAAGTGACAAGCTTCTCCCATGCCATTGTTAATGTATTAGTGTTTTAAAGCCCCTTGGAGAGCAGTAACTGCACTCAACTAATCATTTAGTGATGGTTATCATTTAGAAGTTCATTGTTTAGGGCTGGTGGATTTACTGTAGATACAGAAGGAGAGGGAGGCAGGGAGGGAGGGGGAAACTGGGGGAACAGGGGATCCAAAATGTGCTTAGAGGTACGGGATAGAAGCACAGAAGACCCATCAGTCACATGTACATAACAGAATTAAAAAATGCCAGTTTTTCCAGCAGAAATAAACATGTTTGCATTCTGGTCCCAAAAAAACAAAAATGGTCTTACTAGCTTATGCCTTCATTGGCACACACTGTACATGGATGATTTTTTACGTTTTGATGAAGGATAAGAGTTATTCATAGTTAGGCCCTGGGCTGACTCGCCTGGCTGGACCCCTGTGTGCCCACTCGATATTAGGGCTGGGAAACTTTGGGTGTCTCACGATTCGATTCCATTTCGATTTCAATTCTTGGGGTCACGATTCGATTCAGAATCTATTTTCGATTAAAAAAAAAAAATCTGATCAATCGGTTTTTAGATAAATCGATTTTTTTCCCACCTCTAGTCGTGATGCTCTGCTAATTGTGCTGTAAATGGTGCTCTGATACCTATATTCCTTTCACTGGCATTTTTGCTGATTATATTGGCTGACTGATATATTGGTCATGCTTTAATATTGAATTGTAGAGTCTGTTTAGACATGCAGAATGAAATGCAAATTTCTTCTTTTTTTTGGGGGGGGGGGGGGGGGGGGATTTGGTGTATGCTGAAAGCTTTAGCCAGATTGTGTGAAAGTGAGGGAGAAAAGGAGGGTGTGAGGATGAAGACAAGAGACACTGGAGTGGTCTGAGTAGGCAGGGAGGACGAGGGAAAGCGTGAAACTACAATACTCTGTACTGAAGTATGACAGTGCTTAAAGTAAAGACGATGATGATAATGTTATGTATAACTGATAAGCGTGCTTATAACTGATGTTTTTCTCTTTACTTGCAGCTGTATTCTGGGGCGACATTGCTTTAGACGAGGAGGACCTGCGCATGTTTCAGATCGACAGGACGATAGACCTGACACAGCACACACACATGCGCACACACTCCCGGCAGGGCCACACATCTGGTAAGTGGACTGGATGTCTCACTCTCACTCAGTAATCATCATGTACTGCTTTCGCTCACGTTTCCTCTGAAACTCTCTCATAAGCAGCTTCGATAGGAAGGATGTGGAAGGGGCCACATGAGGATATCAGCATTTATTGTGCATTGTTTGTGTTTTGATTCTTGGCTTTGGTGTTTGTCAGGTGGCCTGGAGGAACATCAAGTTGCAAAGAAGAGAGGATCATTATATCTGCTGCTCGAGAGAATACGCAGGTTTGGCTTTGGTAAGGAACTTATATTCACTTCACATTCCAATGAAAGTGGATATTAAAGATATGTTACAAATCTGTAATGCAAAACTTTTTTGCACACATGCATCAGAAGCATCCTAGATGTATGAACCTCAAAGAAAGGAACTGTTTTCGAAGTATAAACATGCTGTAACAGAACCAACTTCTCAGTGAAGACTTTAAATACTAACTGAGCTCCTAAAATCCTGCTGTGCAAACAGCTTATGAACAGCTTCTGAATGCAATCAAGAAGAGGTTTGCTTGCTGTTTGCCACTGTTACCATCAAGAGATTGACCAAAATCAATGAATTGTTCAGTATGAAAGAAGACAATCTGAAGTAAGATTCAATGAAGTTTATTTTTATGACTAGTTATGCTTTTAGTGCAGAGGCAGGACAGTGTATCAAGTTTGAAAACAGGGAGAGAGAGAGAGAGAGAGAGAGAGAGAGAGAGAGAGAGAGAGCGAGAGAGAGCGAGAGAGAGAGCGAGAGCGAGAGAGAGAGAGAGAGAGAGAGAGAGAGAGCGAGAGAGAGAGCGAGAGAGAGAGAGTGGGAAATGACAGGCTGTGGCTCAGTTGGTAGAGTCGCTTGTCACTTTAACCTGAAGGTTGGGGTTTGATCCCCAGCTCCTGCAGCCACTGTCCGACGTGTCCTTGGGCAAGACACTTAACCTAAAGTTGCTCCCGCTGCTTCGTCTGTGGCGTATGAATGTGTGTGAATGGGATTAGTTACTTCTGATGGTTACTTCACATAGAAACCTCTGCCATCAGTGGGTGAACAGGTGTGAATGGGTTGGTTTGACCTGCGGTATAAAAGGGCTTTCAGTAATCAGAAGTTAATTAGGGCCTCCTGATGAAGGCTACAGGCTGAAATGTGTCAAGATAATTATCAAGTTTTAAATTCTGAAAGCGTTGCTTCACATTTGACGTTTTAAGACTGATTTCCTCTTTAGCACACTGGAATCACAACCTCTTCACTGCTTAGGCAAAATTGGATCCTGAACAATGTTTGACTTTCCTTCAGCCCATTCAGTGTGCATTACTGACTTGTTTAATCAAATCAAATATGTACTACAGAACATAGCTATATTCTCTGAGATGTATTTCCCTCTCATCTTACTCTGAAAGGTCACATATAAAAGGAAACAACGTGATCCAGTAATCTCAGAGACCATTTATGGACTGATACTGTATCTGTGATAGACCTGTATTTACTCTGGAGGAACACACGTATCATAATAAAAGTAAAGTTAGATTTGAATGTTTCTCTCTCCTCACTTTGTTAGAATATCTCCCAAAGAACTCAAGCAAAGGATCCCCAGGTCCCAAGAGCCAAACTGGGAAAGGTGGCAAGACGGGGAACGTGGTGAAAAGTCGGATTCCCCGAGCGGCCACATCCAGAGCTGAGAGAATTTGGCCCGGAGGAGTCATTCCCTACGTCATAGGAGGAAACTTTACTGGTAAGCGAGTCAGCTAGACACTGCTAAAAAATGAAACACTCGGATGTGTGAGTGTGAAACGGTAGGATGTGAAATGTGTGTTTCAGGTAGTCAGAGGGCCATGTTTAAACAGGCCATGCGTCACTGGGAGAAACAGACGTGTGTGACGTTTATTGAGAAGACGGATGAGGAAAGCTACATCGTGTTCACCTACAGACCCTGTGGGTGAGTGTGTTGAATCTCCAAGCGTTTGTGTGATTGTGTGTGAGTGTGTGTGTGTGTACCTAGAGTGCAGTAGTGACCTTGTCACAGCGAGAGACGATACGGTCACTCAACAATGGCTCCACTTTCCTTCCTGTCCTGCTCCCGTTTCCCCATCCCTCCAGTCACACTGCAGACTCTTAAGTTTTTGTATGTAAGGGCAGTTTTTTTTTTTTTGTTCATAGTCTGCAGAAGTGCATTGTTCTGTGGAGTGGCAGCACGGTGGGGTCATAGTGTGTTTGTACAGTGGTGACTCTTTACTGACTGGTTTAGGTTGTAAGGTTTAAGAGCAGCCTGAACCTTGGGTTTGTCTCTTTGAGCGGATGTTGGTTAGATGGTTGAAAGAGTAGGACTTGTAAGATAATTAAGAAATTGCAGAAAATATCTGTGTTTCAATGATAAATTGATTTTTTTGCTGATTCTACTACTCTAATGCCCTTAATTGCTTGATAATGAACAATGATCACCTCAGCAAGCTCACACCCTTGATGAACTCTGAAAAAAATCCATTTAGAAATTTTTAAATGTAGTTTAGTGAGAGAGCTGCATGTGAACCAATGATAGCAGTTGTCTCGTGTCCTGTCATAGGCTGGCTGCATCAGAGATTAGACACTTTAATCTGATGTATAAATACCCTGCAGCTTGGATGGGCATCCTGCAGGTCAGTGAGAGGAAAAGGCTGATATGTGTAGAAATACGAGTCATGTTTTGGAGAAGAACTACAGTTTGTGTGTTGCCATCTATTGTCGGTGTAGTAATGGTGCCTAAACTGGAGCTTCAAATGCTAGAAAGAAAAAAAACCTCTATCTACTCCAGTGACTCCTGATCCTCACCCTGCAATTATCTCACTGGATAACTTTAATCAGATTTGTTAGCCTGGCACGGATGTCTCGGCTAAACAGAAAGTGTGTGTTCCTGTGTGTATGTGTGTGTTTTCTGTGGGCAGCGAAGTGTGAAGTCTCACAGCTTACTGAGTTTGACTATGAAACTGCAGCGGTATCAGAGAGTTGTATGTAAATAAATCCTGCTGCTTTTCCTCTGGTGGACGTAGTACAGGGCAGGAAATCCTGAAAACAGTGTGTCGTTGTGTGTGTGTGTGTGTGTGTGTGTGTGTGTGTGTGTGTGTGTGTGTGTGTGTGTGTGTGTGTGTGTGGGGGGGGGTGGGGGCGTGTTCATACAGTACTGTTGATGCCAAATGTGTAGTAAGAAAAAAAAAAAGATCCGCCTATCTCCCTGCTATCAACGTTCTGCTTATCCTTATTAGGTGTTGTTCCTATGTGGGTCGTCGTGGCAACGGGCCCCAGGCCATCTCTATAGGCAAGAACTGTGACAAGTTTGGCATTGTGGTGCACGAATTGGGTCATGTCATCGGATTTTGGCACGAGCACACACGGCCTGACCGTGACGATCACGTGACCATCATCCGGGATAACATTCAGCCAGGTGAGACTTAGTACCCATAATGCATCTGGGTCTATGTTAAGACCTTTTCAGGGTTGCTTTTCTGGATGGAGACAAGTAAGTATAACTTATAATAAATAATAATGTAGCACAAATCAATGAGCAACAATATGAATCTAGACTTGTTTGCACTACAACCCAATCTGACAGGTGATTAATTGAATGACATAGCACCTGAACGTTGTGTTTTTTGGAAAAATATTCAATATCACTGCACCATGGTACTACTAGAAATGTACTAAATGCTTTTTAAATGATGCACTGTTCATGCAAGTTTTTTTTTTTAATTGAATATTAAACATAACTGTCTAATGCTGCTGCCCAAGCCTGTTTGTAAATGTATGTTTGTCTTCATCATATTTGTGATTTCCAGGCCAGGAGTATAACTTTCTCAAGATGGAGCCGGGGGAGGTCAACTCTCTGGGGGAGCCATATGATTTTGACAGCATCATGCACTACGCCAGAAACACCTTCTCACGGTAACCGCCGGCACAATCTCATCCATTGACTTGTGTTAAGTTTACAAAATAGATCAGTTACACAAGCTGCAAAAACAGATTTTTCTCCTCTGTGATGTTGTGAAACTAGCATATTGTTTTTTCCATCAGACTTTATTTTTGTAGATTAACAGCTTTTATACAATTAGTTAAGGAGAAACTTGAAAAAATAAACCACCATTGCAATAAAACAGATTTTTTTTTAATCCTGAAATATATTTTCAAGTGTTAAATTCCTTTCATATCAGCCTTTTTGACAGTGAGACTGATCTCTGGTTTCCACATATGAGACAAGCAAATTTCTCCACATTTGTGGGGTCATTAGGTCATACTGCTCTCAGCACATAACTTATAACGTGCTGTATTGAGGAAAATTATATGTTGAAATCTTTTTATTTGATTTCCTGGAAATGTGTGTTGACGCTCTTGTCTCCTCCCTGCAGGGGGATGTTCCTCGACACCATCCTTCCATCCAGAGACGAAAACGGGGTCAGGCCTGCTATTGGCCAGCGGACCAGGCTCAGTAAAGGAGACATTGCACAGGCAAGGAAGCTGTATAGATGTCCAGGTACTGATTGATATATTTACTATGAAACCACAGTATGAATATTAATGTGTGTGTGTGTGTTGTCAAAACAAAAGATGACATCTGTTTACTTGTTGTAAAATTAGCCCACCCCTTCACTCTCCAAGGCATTGAGTGAAATTGAGTAATATGTTTTTGCATGTGATTCCCCTCTCTGTCTTCGGGTCTCACACACATAAAAACCCTCCTTTCCTTAATTCCTGCACACACCCGTGCTGCTCTGGCTGTCACTAGTGTCCCTGTTGTATGGTTCTGACGTGATCTGGATCGTGCCGTGATGTTGCAAAGGTTCATTGCTAAAAATGGTCCCACCTCTTTTTTGGCACACACACTTACACTAACAACCTCCAAGAAGAGTTCACACTTTAGGTCACAGTGTGCGCATGATGTTCTTATCCGAGACAAACAGATCGGATAAAACCATCAAAGTCTCTGTTGCATCATGTGTTGGTTCATGTATTTAATTATTTTCAATTATTTTCCGCATCTTTATGTATTTCAAGTGATATATTTGTTTCATATTACTGAGGATATGGCAGTAATTTACTTCTTTTTTTTAAATACAATAATAAAAAAAACTGTGTATATAATAATACTAAATGTATTTTGCTGCTGGAGCAGGAACATGACTGTTTGCATGTCCCAGCTGGAAATAGAGACAACTTCAACCTTATAAGGTCATATTTGAGGGATACCATATTCACTGACAGATGAACAGAGCCCCAGGGCATTGTGGGGGGAAAACAGCATGCATGATGGGATAGGAGGGGCACATTTGGCTAACCTCCTTCTGCGAGGGAGCAACGGCGTAAACCTCAGAATGAAGAACAAAGAGAGCAATATTGTCAGAACATTTTTACCTCTAATCCACACGCAGCTGTTAACAGATTTCCTTACTTTTTTTTTCTTTGTGATAAATAAAATCTGTTAATGTTTCAGTAAATGACTCTTCTACAAGGCGATCCTTAATTTTGCTTTGTGACTGTGGTGGGAAATCTCATGTATAGTCACACAAACAAGAATACAAATGCACACTGCAGCCACAATCATGTAAATCTGAAACAAGCCAAAAGCAACATGAAATATGAGTTTGTTTGGGAGGGTAACTTTAATTACTTCACTGTTTTCTGTATCATAAATACATGTCATAACAGTTTAAACTCTGGCAGTGTGTAAGATGTTTTTTCCACAAAATATGTTGTGTATTTATTTTAGTAAATTGGCAGTGGAAGAATGGGCGTAATAATATATATGAGAGCCATGTGTTCTTGGTAATGTACAGATCATAAGACTCAGTAAACAGCTGAGTGGATTATACTTGACAGCAGGACTAACCACATAAATGTAACTCCCTCTGTGTTTGTGTGTGTGTTTGTTTGTATGTGTGTGTTTGTGTACGTTGCAGCATGTGGAGAGACGCTCCAAGAGTCAACAGGCAACTTCTCGTCTCCTGGTTACCCCAACGGATACCCATCATACACACACTGTGTCTGGAGAATATCTGTTACACCAGGAGAAAAGGTGAAAACACACACACACACACACACACACACACACACACACACACACACACACACACAAACAAACAAACAAAGCATACAGCAGTGGAGTTAATTTGAATGCAACATCGATCAAACAAACTCATCAGCTGCATGTTGATTATCTCAAACACTTCAGGTATCATCCACTGCCAAATGCTCTCTGAAGTGTAAACATCTGTTTTAGGTATAGTTAATGTTTATTGAATATTTACTTTCTCCCCTTCAGATAGTCCTGAACTTCACCACCATGGATCTGTATAAAAGCAGTCTGTGTTGGTACGACTACATAGAGGTTCGGGATGGATACTGGAGGAAAGCTCCACTGCTCGGTAAGATCAGGCAGCAGTCAGACAAAACTGGTTCACTTATTACCCGCTAATAAACACAGGGAGACATTTGTGCCTTTTCTTTTTTCGGATTCCTTCTTTATCTTATCATTCTGCTGAACTTGCACTGAATAACTGTTAAATGATTATAGGGTCGTCCTCAGCTGGAAAAATTACTATATAATCGAATATATATAAATATAACATTTAAAAAAATCATTCAAGCTGATGTGGATGGAAGAGCAAAATTATCATGATGACAATTTGGGAGCAAATCTCTGGTATAGCCTTAGAACAGCCTTTTTTTTTTTACATTAGGTTATGGAAAAAGTTCATAGAACACCCTAAGGATGGACTTCTTTAATAACTCAGTCTTGATGAGTGAACTAATGTAGTGGTGGCTCTCTTGATGTGTTTTTTTCCCCAGCTTCAATGTCCTTTATGCTCATATCATAAAATTGATGTTAACTTATACTAGAATATGTAAAAACATCTGGATAAGATCCGTCTTTTCTTGTCTTTGAGGAATTATGTGAACCCTATCCATCTATTTTCCCTTTTGTTTCCCTGCACAATATACACCTTAAATAATTTCATAAACTATTTTTTTTTTAGAGCATCCCACGTCGGCTGGAGTGTGCAGGCTTGGTGCCACAGTTTGCACGTTGTCCTTTAGCTGTGTGAATGCTCAGGCTGAAGATCAAAAAGTTATTTTTCTTCTGATTATAATTAAGTGTTCAGGCTGACATTAGCACCACATCATCAGGGAATGTAACCAAGCGAGCAGTGGAGTCTCTGGAATGAGGTTTAAACTGTTGTAGTGTTTTACTTGGACAAAGCTAAACGTCTGTATTAATTCAACAATCCCTGCATGATTCAAGTTATGATTCTCACATGGTTGGTCTCTATGTGTGTGTTTTAACAGGCAGGTTTTGTGGCGATAAAGTTCCTGATGTGTTGATCTCGACTGACAGCAGGATGTGGATTGAGTTCCGTAGTAGCAGCAACTGGGTGGGAAAAGGCTTTGCCGCCATTTATGAAGGTAACTCCACTGCCTGCAAATCAAACATAGAAAAATAAACAAATATATGAATAGATTTCTGTGTGTTTCTGCTGTGCAGCGATCTGTGGAGGTGAAATCACCAAAGACTCAGGACAGATTCAGTCTCCAAACTATCCCGATGACTACAGACCTTCTAAAGAGTGTGTGTGGAGGATCACTGTGTCCGAGGGATACAACGTCGGACTCAGCTTTCAGGCTTTTGAGGTGACTCACTGTCTGTGTTTGTGTGTGTGTGTGTGTGTGCGTGTGTGTGTGTGTGTGTGTGTGTGTGTGTGTGTGTGTGTGTGTGTGTGTGTGTGTGTGTATGCAAATGTGTGTGTCTGTGTGTGTGTTTCTCTGTCTTTCAACCCTTCTGTCCCTATGTGTGTGCTCAGGAATGTCTGGGTCAAATTTCACGCTCTTATAGCTTCTAGGAAGTTAATAACTGTGGTGTGTGTATGTGTGTGTGTATGTGTGTGTGTGTGTGTGTGTGTGTGTGTGTGTGTGTGTGTGTGTGTGTGTACAGAGACACAAAGCAGTTTTGGATTAGTTAGAATGCAATAAAAATGTCAGTGTGCTAAACGACTCAATCTGTGACCAACCAACTTCACACAAGTGAGGTCAAAGATCTTCATAAGACCTTCACACAGGAGCTAAGATCCACACATCTTGTGTTCTTGTCCATTCTATTGTTATGCAATTACTAAAGTAAAGTAATCATTTCAAAGATAAGAATTCATTTTTAGCTAGTTGGATTTTTCTAACTCCAACCAATGTTTGGCCTTTCATTGTGACAAAAAAGAGGCATACACTCTAAACTCTGTGCAGGGGAATGATTAACCATTCATCTTTCAGAATCAAGTTGAATAAAGATGTTAAGAGCTGTAGTAGATCAGACGTTAATTTCACATAAACTGCATGTCCTCTCAATATTGCCTGTCACAGTGCTTTGTTTTAACTTCCTTTAGCTCAGCTCTAAATAACAGACCAAAGCCACATCATTTGCAGCTCAATCTCCCAACCCATCGGCTATCAACTGATGAGAATATAACCTTTGGAAGCAAGGTTTTTTTTGGGGGGGTCTTATGGTGATGCCAATTAGGACTGTGAAGGTCCTCCAGCCAAGACTTCCTCTAATCTGTGTGGACCATTGTTTAAATCAGGCTTCAACTTGAGAGGCTAGAAAAGAATTCCGACTTCCAACAGAAACAAGTTGTGGTAAAGAAAGAAAAATTTGCCCTATACCCCACAGAAAAAAAGATGAATGACAATGTCTCACTAAAGATAACAACTCTTCACAATACTGCCTGATTCCGTTAAACTAGTGGTTCCCCGTGAGATCTTTGGACCCCAGCTTGAAAACCAATGGGTTGTAATCTAGGGATCAAATTTAAGTAGCTGCTAAAATTTACAGCAGGTATTTGATCAGAAAATCTTGAGCAGTCAAAAAAAGGAGGAAATGTTGTGCCTCTGATTATATTTAGTCTGTTGTACCACAGAGACATTTGATGGTGACTCCATATATGCTTATACTCAAAGTAGTGTCATGTATCCTCTCTGTGTGCTCAAGTATAACTAGATATATATGTTTGCAGATTGAGAGACACGACAGCTGTGCCTATGACTACCTAGAGGTCAGGGATGGCCCTCTGGAGACGAGCCCTCTGATTGGTCGATTCTGTGGCTACGACAAACCTGAAGATGTGCGCTCCACCTCACACACACTGTGGATGAAGTTTGTCTCGGATGGGACAGTCAACAAGGCTGGCTTTGCTGCAAACTTTTTCAAAGTGTGTGTGTGTGTGTGTGTGTCAGTTGAGTTTGTTTTTTTCACTTGATTTTTGTAACCAGAGCATTGTTTCGTGTGTGCATATGTGCTCTGACGTGTATGTTTTCCAGAGGAGGATGAGTGTGCCAAGCCAGACAATGGTGGATGTGAACAGAGGTGTGTAAACACTCTCGGCAGCTTCAAGTGTGCCTGTGACCCGGGCTATGAACTAGCTCCTGACAAGAAGAGCTGTGAAGGTAACTGTACGCTGGGATCAGTGTTGTTTGTACATTCCTTTGTTACCAAGCTGTGTGTTTCTGTAGGATATGACTGTTACTCATCAGAAAAAAAACATCCGAACAGCCTCCATCAACAGGAAAAAACATCCCTCAGACACAAAGCCACATGCTTCGCTGTTCCAATCCCACAAATGCTGTGAAGGTCCTTTAATCCCGCAAAAATAAATTAACTACCTGTGATGACCCACATACCGAAACATCAGACAAACCACATCTGTTGCAGAGAGAGAAAGCTCTTCTAGAGACACATCCAAATTGTCATTCAGCTTTTTTTTTTTTTTTTTTTAGATATGTTTTTTTTAATCCTTACTTATGGGGGAAAGGCTTAAAAGGGGATTTTTAAATTGTGACTCATTTTTTGGAAGGAATTTTGCCCAACACGGGTCAACGTCAAGTAAAACAATAACAAACAAAGAAAACATCTGTTAACCTGTACACATATTTTGTGTTATGTGTGTCGTGTTACGTGTCATGAAATTAAAAACAGGTAGTGAAAAAAAACAGGTAGTTCCCATAGATATTTCACTTTTCCTTTGAGCGATGTCCGGTTCCTCTATGACAAATACTCCCATTGGCATCATCAGTAAAAACAGACTGCAGACAATGACGTACCTGTTTGTCCTCCACATTCCAACCATACCTACACCATATCAGTAAAAGAATCCCTCTGGCTAAAAATAAATGCAGTGCACAGCTGTGTTTTTCAAATTTTAGCGGTTGAATCATCATCCTCACCTCGAAACCAGCCAATGAAACATGTCAGCTCAGACTGGAAACTTGTGGATTTGAGCGGATGTAGTTGTGTGATGAATAACTTAGATAGTGCATCTGAAAGCAAATTTGTCAAAAACGACTGATTATATTAGTGTGTTAGGCTCAAATAAATATATTGGATTACCCAAAAAATACTACCTTCATAGAAGGTTTTATAGTTGTTGTTATACAAAGTTTTTTTATGAATGTATGTGTGTCTGATTTGTTTCTTTGTTTTTGTTGCTAGCTGCATGTGGTGGCCTCCTCTCTAAATTGAACGGGACCATCAGCACTCCTGGCTGGCCTAAAGAGTATCCACCCAACAAGAACTGTGTGTGGCAGGTGGTCGCTCCCACTCAGTACCGCATCTCCATGCAGTTCGAGGCCTTCGAGCTGGAAGGAAACGAGGTGTGTGTGTGTGTGTGTGTGTTTGTGTGCTCTTGTGCTGTGCTTCAATGAAAAAGTAGAATGGAAGAAGCTAACTAAAGTATCCGTCATTAAAAATGAGTGTTACTCAAGCCTTTTTTTGTGTGTGTAGGTGTGTAAATATGACTATGTGGAGGTGCGTAGCGGCCTCTCATCAGACTCAAAGCTGCATGGTAAATACTGTGGCACGGAGGTCCCTGAAGTCATCACGTCGCAATACAACAACATGAGGATCGAGTTCAAGTCCGACAACACTGTATCAAAGAAAGGCTTCAAAGCTCACTTCTTCTCAGGTAAGACACGTGTTACATCTTTGTCCGTGTGTGTGTGTGTGTGTGTGTGTGTTTCTTTTCGTTTGTATGTATGTGTTATGCTCATCAGGAATGGGATTTTTATTTTGAATAACTGAAGTATAGATGGAGGAAAAGTTACTTAGACAACAGCAGCAATGAGAAAAGCTAGTGGAAGCTTTAATTTCAGCATGAAACTGATAAATTTGCAGTTTTCAGCGCTACAGTTCCAGACAAAAATACTATTTCTATCCTATTTTTTATTGAATTAAACTGCAATACACCCAACATTATTTTCACATGTGAAGTGACAGTACTTTGAATTTGTTATGTTGTGTTGATTTTGCCTCAAGTATCCGTCTGTAAAGATAAAAAGTATATTTAGCTGAGTTTAGACCGCTGTAACCTTTTTCAAACAGGATACAAGTATTGTAGTGGTTAACATCAAAAAGAGCTGCAGCCAACTTCTTGTAGAAGATGAAACACAAACCAGGATCTGCAATCTCTCTGAGTCTTCTCCCCACCCTTACTGTGTGTAGACGTGTGTGTATGTCTGAGTGTATGGTCAAGTAAACATGAAGTTTTCCATATTTGTGTGCATACCCCCTTTGTTTTTCTGCCAGTGTACATACGCTGTGTGTGTCTGTCATGCTGTCATGCTGTGTCTCCTGAGCCTGCAGCGGCCCTCAGCCCTCCCTGCACCCACCCTGCACTCTGCCCTCTCTCCCTCAGACAAGCTGACTCTGTGTCAGGACCGTATGATTGTGTTTGAGTCATGCCAGGACATAAAGCGCGGTCGCTCCCCCACTCGTGGCCATGTCAACAACAAGCTGGCAACCTCATCAAAGGTCAGAGGTAACATGGCCTCACAGTCGGCATCTCTGATTGGCTCTGGTGTTACCACGTGACGAGGGGAATGGATAGATCCTGTTTTAACGAAGTGGATCATTGTTTAATCCATTCTTCTTCAGAGGGTAACATGTGCTTGTCCCAATTCCATTTCACATACAACAATTTCTAAGTAACAAGAGAGATGGGCGATGATACAATAGTATCTTTTAAGAAATACTTACCTGAATAATGTTGTCATTATGACAAATAGACTTTGGTTTGCTGTAATGGTCTAAATATAAACAGAGGATCAAAATTTATTGGATTGAAAAAAAGTCTTATATCATTTGTGTGATGCTACATACATCTGCCATAATTTGATATATTTCTCTAGTTAAAAAAATCTTTATTCCATTGCATGAGGGACACAAAAGTGGTGTACTGTACTCTTTTAGTGATGAGCAACAATGGATGACAGTCAAACTGCTACTTTTGGAGGTTTACAGCCTGTCTTAAATTGGGAATCAGTCAAATTCTGAAAATAATAATGTTGTTGTTTATTACTATATCCACTACGCTTTTAAATGAAAGTACAGCCAGTGAAAAGAAATAAATATGATGTATGGAATTGAGACAAATCTATGATATCCACATTAACACACAACAAATATCCCCTACTCGCCTTTTTGCCGGGATGAATTTGTTGGACGCTCACATTGGAAAATTAACAATTTTAGGAAGTTGTCACAAAGATAAGATCAAATTTTCTCTTTTATTACTGTTTAGTGTTTACAGTAACTAGAAGGGAAATGGATACCTGATCCAAAAGGCAACTTCGGTGTAACATTTTCAGCGTTTTTTCCCTCCCTCAGAGGAATACAAATGTCAACTGGACGCACTGGAAAACATTCAACTACAGGAGCAGTTAGCAAAGAGAAACTACTTCATCAGACAGAGATCATGTCAGGGTGTTTGTGTGTGACCAAAGTTGCTGTGTAAGTGTATCTGGTATTGTCAGACGCTTCAAGCGATAGCTCTGGGATGGCAGAAATCCAGCAGCTTTAGGGAGGTCCCTTCAGCCTCCCACACACGACTAATCCATCCGAGTGGGCGCGTGTTTGTGTGCATGTGGACATTGTGTTGCTTGACCTGACGAAAGCTACAATGAGCACTGTGTAGCATCCACTGCAAAGCTTCTTAGCCTGTGATAGGACGAGACTGAGCCCACAATAGCATCGTAATACCACCACAGACACAGACTCACACATGAGCACAAAGAGAGAGAGACACACACAGAGGAGGATTTAGTGGTTTCATTAAAAGCAGATCTAGGTTGATTCAGAAGCTCTTGAGTAGAAGTGAGACTGTAATCCCACATCTCTTTATAGGAAATCACAACCACTCTCTTCTCTATCTCCCACATTCGCTGCTTTTCTTTGTGGCCATCTACAAATCTCCCATCTCTCTGTTTCTGTCAGAGACACCATCACTTTTTTGAAGTCTACCCGCTATGTTCCTTAAAAGCCTTTGTTAATAGTTACACCCAGCCTCAGTGAGGAGAAGACGTGTTTAGAAGGGTGAGGGAGAAAAACTGAGCAACAAGAAAAAAACACCTCAGTTGTGTTGCTTCGGATTTTCTTTTCAGTCTACAGATACTTCCATACACTGACCTCATAACATACAGCCGCTTGCCAACGGCTCCATCTTTATGAACTCACACAGTGCAGCCAAAACATTGTTCAAGCTAGAAATAAAACTTCAATATAAGTATTTTTGTTGAGGTCCTTACATTTCCAAAAATACCAAATATGCAAGGCTAAATTTTGGGCAATGTGTATAAAGGTTTGGACAAAACATGAAAACTGTGCAGCCAACTCAAGATCAGGCCTAGGGTTTGAAACCACTGCATATAGCTTTAATAAGGATAAGTTTTAAATGGACACAGGATGTAAATATGATGTTTGTGAACCCAACTAAAAATAAACCACTGCAGGGCGTAACTTTGCATTTAGTGTACAGTCTCAATAGTGGTAACTATGGCTGGGAATCTTCGATTTTGATTCTTGGGGTCACGATTCGATTTGGAATCTATTTTTGATTCAAAACGATTCTGAAATCATGGATCATGAATTCAAAGTCTATTTTTGATTTAGTACATACTTCAGGATCTACTCCAGTCATCTGTGAGACTGTCTGAATTTCTTGCTGCTCCATTTGGCATTCTAATGAGTTAAAGAGCTAGCCTTAGCATTTAGCAGGGAGTGACTGACTAGCCAAAACAAAAAATACATTTTTGGAAGTTATGAATCTATTTAAAATCTCAGAAGATAAGAATCTTGATTTTTACAAAAATGGATTTTGTCCCCGACCTCTAGTGGTAACTATACTCTTAGCAAACTCAATTAAGGGGTCTTTTTCAAAAGGGGTTGGGTTTTTATTTCAATCAAAGATCCCTGTGCTTGGCAGTGGGCTTTTCAACAAACTAAGCTAACATAGCCAACGTCTATTAAATATTTCACATTTACTCATTTATCACAATCTTAAAACGCAGGAGGTACAAATACCAAAAAAACACAAACCTATCATAAAAAAGCAACAGAAGTAAGGTGTTAATTTACTATTCAAATACTAAATCCTATTAAATTCCTTTCCCAAGGATATTTGGGGGTCCATATATCCGACCATGCAGTGTGATAGTGAACAACAAAAATCCCAGATAAGTAAGTTTCCAGTATATTTCGTAGGTTAATGAAAAAAATAAAAAAAAGCTTCAAGATGCAAAGACAGAAGCTTTGTCAGTTTTCACAGTTGCTCCTCGGCTGACAGATCAGACAGATTTAACAGTGGTGGTCTGGCCCCAGGAGAGCACAGCTGATCTGAAAGCAGCTGTTATGGTCAGAGAGTTTGACCACAGGGCGACAATGACCATGAACCAGAAGAGAAGAACAAAGACAGTGTTACAGGCCAACAGAACCACACACAGACTAACTTACTTAACCCTTTGCAGTCGCCTGTTGCTGTCTTTATACTTACTTTTATTTCATGTGCTTTCCTCTAATGTTTTTTATTTTAATCTTTGGATGTCATTTAATGTTTACAGCTCACGTAAAAACAGGCATTGTTTACACTTTCATTGCACTATGCCTCTCCCGTGTTAGGTTTAGGAAATGCTAGCACAAAGTGTTGAGAAATCCAAAGCTCTGTTGTGCTTTGTAACGGCTGCTAAGCTAATAACTGGGAGTGCCGTTTGGGAAAGGGGATTTTGCATGATGTTAATTGACGCTTTCTCTTAGCTTGAACACCAAGTCCAGTCATAAAGTTTAAACCTTGTTTTAACATATGTGACCCTGTTGTGTGGTGTTTTATCTGTGTATTTGTATTCATGTTTGTCTTTGTTTGCCATTTTCCCCCCTTTTTGTGTCTATTGTCTTATTTCTTTTGTTAACTTCCCCTTTCTAGTTTGTTTGATTTCTGCTTGGCCCTCCCCTCCTACCACTGTTTCACCAGTTTTGCCCTCCCCCCCCCCCCCCCCCCCCCGCCTTGCATCCCGTCACTTTCTTGTTGTTTCCACATGAGTGATGTGTTGCATGTGTGTCTCTCACAGACAAAGATGAGTGCAGCAAGGACAACGGAGGCTGCCAGCACGAGTGCATCAACACAGTGGGTTCTTACGTTTGTCAGTGTCGCCACGGCTTTGTACTGCATGAGAACAAACATGACTGTAAGGAAGGTGGGTTCCACTCACATTCACATCAGCACACACACTGGCATAAAAACTTTGGAGTGCACATGCATGTGCTGCCACATTCACACAAGCATGCGCTTATTCACAAGAACAGTCATCGGCCATCATACAGCCCTTACTATGTTTATCCACATCAGGATCCACATGACAACAGACTGGTCCTTTCCATTTAGGACAAGGTTGTTTTTTTTTGCATACATTCATTTGTTCTTGGAGCCTGCAGGCAGAGCTGTAGACTAAACTTAAAAAGGCAGTCAGATTTTACACTTGAAAACGGTTGAATCCCAAGCTTTGATCTAGTAAGGTAAATATAAATGAAACCATGAAATCATTATTAACACAGCCTATAATTAAATGTTGATAATGATGTGTCATGTTATGCTGCAATTCTAAAGAGCCAGATACCTCACAGAGTTTCATAATTGTCTGTAATTTTGATCATACTGATCCATGAGAGAAGGAGTAAAAACCAAAAAGACAAAAAGCAGGGCAGACTGCACCTTGTTAAGTGAAATTAAAACAGGAATAAACAACAAAAGAAAGTTATTTAATGATCAATTATGACATTACTCCAATAATTAAGTGTTTTTTCATTGACCTGATACTGGATCTGGTCTAGGGGCTAACTTATAGTGCTTTCACACCTGCATAAAACTCCTGCAGTTTTGGGTTGAGCTGCATGTGTGAATGCAAACAGCCAAACCTTTCATCAGACTTTATCCAGAGATTCTCCTGCGAGCGTCTTTGGATTGTTTTCACAAAAAGTCCAAGTGAGATGGGAGGGGGTGGTAATGTCTATTACCTGTGACTGGTGTACACATTTAGACTGTATACAGTCTCCGTGCACGGCCTTTAACGGCTGCGTTACGTATTCTGTTGGCCAGTATGGTCTCCTCCGTTCTTTTGTTGATACTGTGATTCTGTCAAACTACATGTAGCATTGGTATGAAGGCAAATATTCACTTCATAACGTCCTATAGCGGTTTCCGCTGCTTCTTCCACCACTTCTGCGTCATTCTTTTTTACATCATGTCATACTGTGCTTCAGGAGACCACCCACCTCCCTCCTGCCCGTCCAGGATAGTATTTTGCTGCATTAATGTGAACAACCAGATCAGGACGTTTTTAGGAGCAGACCTCCTGAAATTCTCTAGATATTTTCAGGAGTGTATATGTGAAAACGGCTTTACTCTGAAAGACTTGTAACTCAACCTAGACCTGTCTCAAAATACTTCAAACAGCTCTGCCTGCAAGTCTGTGTTCACTTCAGTGTGTGTTTGTGTGAGACACAGAGAGACAGGGAACAAGATTTCAGTTTGACATAATTTATATAAAGCTATTAGCACATGCCCATGAACACACACACACACACAAACTGTTGAATTGACATATTATACTCATCTCTTTGAAGTTGAACTTTTGAACGTTTACACACACACACCACATAAATACACACATACACACCTCACTAAAGGGTTCCCTGTGCTGATCGTAAAAACGCTCATGTTACAAACATCTGGGACCTTGAAAGGTTTGCATGTAGCGCCGTCTTCCTGTGTGTGCATTTGAACAGCCTGACCTACTAACCTTGCAGAGTCATGTAAATCCATATTCCATCACACAGATTGTGTCTGTGTTTGCGTAGCTACATACATAGAGAATGTGTGTGTGAAGGTGACATTATCTGTTAGCATGTTAAATGAAAGGACCAGTGTGTAGGATTAAGGGGGATCTAGATTATATAAGTATATAACCACCTTAAATACAAGTCATTGTGCTTTTGCTACTTGAGAATCAGACTTTGATATTTAAAGGGCAGCGGGTCCTCCTTAACTAAGCCCATCATGTTGCACCACCATGTCATGCTTCCACTGGAGCCCACATGGGACAAACTTAGGGTGCTTAGAGATAGTGAGAAGGGAGGGATTAATCAGTTGGTTGCGATATTGGATCTCCCCACTGAATGACACTTAATCGTATACTCTGGTCCTTTAATATGAGCTCCACATTTAATTGAAAGTTTACCTGCCAAGAAGTGTGTAACACTGTGTAAGACTGGCAGTATAAAAGACAAGAAAGCAACCAAGGCAAAAAAACAACAACATATTCATCAATGTCTCAGGGTGTCAGTCTAATCATTTCTTTATGTATGAAAGCACATGTTAAACTTGATACTTTTGGGTTAAATTTACTGGTAATAATATGATGCAGTGTTGTGTTTTTACATTTATTTTTTTACTTGAGAATGTGAGGAGCTTCTTTTGTTGCTGTGTCAGACATCACACTTGTGATCATGGGGTTAGCAACACTTCTTAACTGCACAAGTTGTGAGCATCATGTGTTACAATAGTCTCTTTTGGGGGGGGGGGTTGACATTTGTATTCAAAACATTGTGTGTTAGAGACGTCTCTTTATGAATTCATTCGACTGTTCTTGTCAGTTCATCCACCTCCTTCTGTTCATGGGTTCTTCAGTGTTGTCTGACTCCAAATAAAAACTGTCAATGTGTAATACATCTTGTTGTCGTGTGCATGCCTCCTGCCTCCCCAGTCACCTTCATTCATGGCATCCATTAAACTCACATCATACACACAAACATGTGCAGCGTGTTGATTGGCACGTTTACAGCTTCAACCAGTTTGTACAAAGTTGTTAGAATGATAGAATAGCCCACAGCTGATGTGTTGTCATCAGTATAACCAGTTTAACCGTCATTTGTAGTCTGATGCCCATCCCAAACCACTGACACTAACAAAGTATTGCAAGTAGTTTCTCCTTACTATAGCACTATTCTTGATAAATATGCTAAAACAATAACATTGTCTGCTCAGTTCCTACCTTTTGAAAACAACAGAAGCCACGTGGGTCCCATTATTAAAATGTGTTGCTTTAGAGAAGATAAGAACAATGAGATGCAGAGATGTAGCCTTTTTAATTGTGTCCATGATGGCATTGCATCATTTTCACACTTGTGAAATGGTTCAGTGATCCCTTTTGGAATGTTTGAAAGCGTCATTTTACTGTTCTTGCTAAATTAATCCAGAATGGATCCTGAAGTGGCCTGAAAGCTTTCCCAATAATCCCCTTACAGAACAAAGGGCTTACATTTAAGAAAACAGGTACTCAATAGGTACTATGGCCAGAAATGGTTATAAACAGTCTGCTTAAGGAAAAGAAATCAAATGAAATACCTTATCATTGGGTCTATGGAGTTTGGTTTTTGTCTACATGGGGATCACTTTCAAAGTTCAAAATGATCTCCGATTACAACTTCTACTGTCAGATATATGTTCGGTGTTCTATGATCAATTAATGCAAAAAACAGGTGGCCTAATGTTGCAGTGTGTGCATTAAAAGCATGCGTGCATGTGTTCATGTGAAATAGACTCTGAACGTGTCGTCAGGATGTGTTCTTTGAAATCTTTTCCCTCTCTTTTAGTTCTCTCATTTCTCCTCTTCCTGTTCCCTTTCCATTTCCTCTGACCTTTTCCTGTGCAGCCATGATTTTAACTTCCTCTCAATGTGTGCGCTTTCTTGCGTGTGTGTTTGTGTGTGTGTGTGTGTGTGTCCAGCTGAGTGTGAGCATAAGATCCATAGCCCCAGTGGAACCCTGAGCAGCCCCAACTGGCCAGACAAGTATCCCAGCCGTAAGGAGTGCACCTGGGACATCACAGCCACGCCGGGACACCGAGTCAAGATAGTGAGTGTGATCAAATCGAGCAGATTTCTGGACTTGGGAAGGATTTTTCTTTCCTTTCGCATTTTTGACTTCATTCTTTCCTCAAAATAATACATTATTCTGTCTGTGGGGTCAAATCTTCTGTAAAGGCCTCAGGCTTCCCTCCCTCCCCCTTTCTTCCTCGATAAACTCTCTCTTTCCCATGTTCCACTTCTAAAGCCCAAATGTGCAAGGGGAAGAGGGTGCACGTTTGTATATTCAGGCTAACTGCAAGCGTGTGCTCATGCGTTTGAAAGAGGCCTTGGGCAGCAGCCATCTGTGTCCTTGTGTCATTCTGCGTGTGTGCGTTTATGTTTGTGTTAATCCTTCATGTTCACACACATGCATGCATTTGTGCATTTAAACATTTCTATGTCACAGCCAATAGTCCTCTCCACAATTTGTTGAGGTCATATAGCTGTATGTACATTTTTTAAAAGATAAATCAGCATATTGATCTATGCATGTTGAGACAGGCAGAAAGGAGAGCAGATCATCTCGACTCCCTCACTGTGTATTAGCTCAAACCGATTGTGTTTGCCAAGCAGCGTAAGCTTTGATGCAAATGGAGTTTCTGCTGACTCAAGTAAATCCATAGAAGACAATGAGTGCTGCATGCAAGCTTTCAAAATGAAGATGACATACAGACACACTCTCAAGTCCATCCTTCTGTACAGACACAAGACTTTGCCCTAACCTTAGTTATCAAACCTTAATCTAACTCTAACCCTATTCTCAACCTTTTTAAACACTAAGAACTAAGTCTAACCTTGGTGGTTAAACTTTGCATTAAGCATTAGGCAGCACGTTGAAGAAATGAGGACCAAACAAACACCTTCGCCCTCTAGTTCCATATTCTGTAGCAAACTCACCTTTAACTAGCCTGACACAGACAGCAACATGCACAACAAGCTGCATTATTCACTTTATACCTGCAAGATATTAAAGTGTATGAATAAGATGTTTCAACACATTGGGGCACTTGAAAAGGTTATATTTAGATTTTAATCTGGACAGCAGTTTGCAACAAGCTCTTTACTTTTCTCTGTCTTACTTACTGCCATTGAAGTTACTATTTGCCTGCTTTCCTTACTCCACATTCTTCTCAAAGTACTGATACCAATTTCCATGTGCTTTATTGTAGATTCAAGAACGTAAAATGATTTCCTGGGGATGCATACATTCAACACCAACACATGAGCACAGACTGTGTAGATACAAGCACAAATACACTGACCACAATGCCCATTAATAATGATTTTGTGGTTTAATTAATTGATTTTGCCTTTGACATATTAAGGAAAAGCTGTAACTTGGCAAAGTCCGCATTTTAGATGAAAGTTTCAATTGTATTTCCAATCCACTGTTGATATGGGTCAAAATATCAGTTAATCACTTTGAATTGCCCCCCCGGGGACAAATACAATTTTTTGTATTTGAATTTGAATTTGAATGAACAAATCAAAAATAAATGTACAGTAAATCTATTTGCTAAAATTCAAATGTGTCTCTCCAACAGAGGGGCACACATGCTCACATTCTCACAGATAATCCACTAAAGTCCACTCACGTTCCCATGCTAATAGTCTCATACTCACACACACACAGTGCAGTCTGTACAGTATGAACACTTAATTCGGCTCTGGACACACAGTCAGATGCAAACATTTAAATATGTGTTTGTATAAATACAAACTGTACAAACACAGGGCTGTCAGTCGATCTGCAAGCTATTTGGATTTGCCTCATCCTGAGCTCAATGCATGTTTTTAAAATCATCAACCACAACTCGTTGTGATAATCTCTAATCACCGCTTACGTAACAGAAACACACATTATAGTACATGAGCTGTGATGATGAGAAACGTCTTCAGCAGTTTTTGCATTCGTTTTTTCAACGAGTGACAACATGTGAGTAACACACAAATCTTGTGTGTGTGTGTGTTTTGCTGGTCTGTGTGTTGAGATTAGCAGGAGTGCTCTCTTTATTCACGGTAATGACATCACAGCAGGATAAATTTAATACCAGAAATCTGAGCAGGGATGTGAAGGTCACTCTGTTATTGCGTCTTCACTCGCTGTCACTCAGAAACACACACACATTCACACACTTTACTCTCTCTGGAGTAGTAAGCAACTCCATAAACCGTGTGCCTCGTAAACTACAGTAAGAAACATCTGGAAGCCATCATGACCCCACAATCAAACACTTGCCCTCTGAGTAACGACATCCTCACTTTGGTCTACCTTTACTCCTCTTTCTTCTTTGGTTTGGTACTTAAGTTGGTTTAAAAAAAAAAAGAAAAGGTGGCGTGTGTGGTTGCATGAGAGAGATGTGTGGGAGAGGTCTGCAAGGTGTTATGACTCAACTCATTGTGACTTGATTTGATTATGAATTGTGACAGAGTGTACATGCGTGCCTGTTTGCAAGTGATGAGTCGGCTCAAGGGGAGCAGAGGGGCTGTTTATGTCCCATGTGTTAAAGAATGTCGAAATGTATTTGTTTTGCTATGAAAAAGTTAAACCTGTTTAATAGCCATGGGAAATGATAATGGACATTCTCAGCATGTCTACTAATATAGGAGTTATCCATTCAATGATCAACATAAGGTTTTATTTCAGTTGGGACTTGTCTTCTTGTAGACAAACATATAAGACTAAAATAAACCACATTTACCAACTAAGCCAAATCATTTACTCGGGAGTTATTGGAGACCAAAAAACAGTTTAAAAATATTAGGAATGTTTGACTTACAGTCAGTCAGTTACAAGAAGAAAAACACAACATAAAATCAAAATGAATGATGATGTTGTTCCTTATATGTTCCTCACATTTTCTATATTGTTATCCTGATTGAAAAGTGCCAATATCAACTATTTACATCCGTTCCTTTCACTTTTAAAAGAACCATAAAAGAGCATAGAGGAGAATCTTAAGTTTAAGTAAAATGTTATCTCTAAAAATAACTTGAAAGTTTTGATGGGATCCTAATGCAATGAATGGACATTCATGTAGTTTCATTTTTGGACCTTAAAGCTCATGTGAGGAACTTGTGGTTTGTATCAGTTTTGATAACCCATCTGGACAAAGCAAACCTCATTTTCTCCTGTACAGGTATAAGTAGTGCTTTTAAACACAAAGAATCTCATCCTGCTACCTTTAACCAGTCAAATGTATCACTCATTGTGACTCTTTGTCTACCCCTATACAGAAATACTCAGTCCTCTCTCTGATGATCTTGTTTGCTCTTGTAGGTCATATGGTGGCACGAGTTTTAAATTCTGTCCGTTTCAGCTAAAACCCCCTCACAGGAGCTTTGGAAAATTACATTTGAAAAAGAAAAAAAACAGCAATGTGTCATCTCAGTAAAAGTGTCCCATGTATTCTGGGTTATAGAGGCTTTCTCAAAGTAATCTTTGGAAGTAATTTTAACAAAAAAATGGTCACAATTCAAACTGGACAGCAGTTGGCAAAGTGGATCTTTAAACACCAACTCATGTCTCACTCCGTGACCTCTCACTCTCTTTTCTCTAACTTTCCAGACCTTCAATGAGTTTGAGATCGAGCAGCATCAGGAGTGTGCATACGACCATCTGGAGGCCTTCGACGGGGACAGCGACACAGCCGCCATCTTGGGCCGATTGTGTGGCAGTAAGATCCCGGAGCAGCTGGTCTCCACCGGGAACAAGATGTATCTCCGCTTCATTTCTGATGCTTCAGTACAAAGGAAGGGTTTCCAGGCTACTCACTCGACAGGTATGTGTGTCTGTGTATTTGAAATATCTCTCTTTGTGCCACAATGAGGGAGATTTTGAGTCTCCAAAGCATCACTCAAAGTCAATGGCTCCTACATTATTTCTCAAGCCTGCATAGTTTTTTAGGAGCTTTATCTCCCTCTAGTGGGTCACAACTGCATGTACAAGTCAAGTCAAGTCAACTGTATTTATGAAGCACATTGAAAAACAGCTGCACAGTGCATCAAATAAACCACACTTTAACCCTGAGCAGTTATAAATGAGCAACAGAAACAACAGAGAAAAGGCAGAATGATTAAAAAACATGTCGCCTAGTCATTCAAACACTAACATATACATAAGGTTGCTTTGAGGCGAGAATACAAGATGAAAAATATTCATAAAGACTGACTTTAATTTATTGTCTTAAGAGGACAAATCAAAATCAAAACCGCTAACCAGATAAAACGTCCTTCTTTCCTGTGACCATGCAGAGTGTGGAGGTCGGCTGAAGGCAGAAGTTCGGCAGAAGAACCTTTATTCTCACGCTCAGTTTGGAGACAATAATTATCCGGGTCACACTGACTGTGATTGGCTGTTGACGGCCGAACAGGGCTACGGCGTGGAACTGAGCTTCATCACTTTTGAGGTAGAGGAGGAAGCGGATTGTGGTTACGACTACATTGAGCTGTACAACGGGTACGACGCCAACTCCCACCGACTGGGTCGCTTCTGCGGTTCAGGGGTAAGAAATGTCTGAAGACTTTTCTGATGTGTTTTTATACGTTTTGGGACAACAATGGTGCGCTGTGGGAAACAGAACTATGATATCTAAAATGTCAGTCAATTTATTATTAGTCTTTTCATGGGATATGTTGACAAGCACTGTAAGGTTAAAGGGGACATAGTATGAAAAATCCACTTTTACAGGGTTTTTGAACCTGAGTGTCTACCCACCCACAAAATGTGAAATAAACCCATCCAGTCCTTTGTTTGTGGTGTGCAGAAGTCTTACAACACAGAGAAAAGTGCTCCGTTTCAAATTTGTTCAACTTGTGACATTAAAAAAATACCCTTCCCTCCCCTGATATCTCCACCCATGGACTCCATCCCGGGCCTAGAACAAAACTTTTGCACAGGTCTGCCATTCTTAGTCTTGCTACAGAGGAGTGAAGTCTACCGGGAAAACTCAGGGGGGGGGGGGGGCTCTTTGCATTTAAAGAGACACACACACCGAAACGGAGCGTTCTGATAGAGCTGGTTTATACAGGGTCACAAACCTCCTCTGGTGCTTGATTCATGTTATATTTTGACCAAAGCACAGCACAGATGTTTCATTTAGACCACAGGGGACTGTTTGAAAAGGTGGAAAGAGGGTATAATATGTCCTCTTTAAACATTTTTGACTGTTTCACTTTTGTAGACAAATCCACTATTTACTACTATTCTCATACTATAGCTTTCTGGTCAGTACTGAATTTCAGTATGAAGTTTTCTTTGTAAAGAATAGCAAGTTATTTAGGAATTATTTAATAAGTACAGCAAATTAAAAAAGGTATCTAAAAAAAACACTTTTTTTAAAATTTAAATTACTCCATTGAAATAGATTTTCTGCACCTTAAATGTAAGTCAAAGCTTGAGTTATATGAATACAAAATGACACCAAAATGACATGTACCGTATGTAAAGCTCTTATTAAAGCCATTGTTAGTCATTAAAGTGAAGGAGAAACATCTTGAGCTGCTGGGTATTCTCTCTCTCTTTTTGCTCTTATCTACAACTACAATCCTTTAAACATGAACAAGGATAACTTTAAAGTTTATAACCTGATGTAAGAAAGTTTGAGAGACTAAATAGAAACTAAACACTGTGATTTACTAACTTTTTTAGTTAAATTGATTTAATTCTGTGAAAATACCTCTTAATGTCTGACAGTCTCTCCTCATGTCTCTCTGCCGTCCCTTCTTCAGCCCAGGGAGGGGATCTACTCTCCCGGAGGAGCTATGCTGATCCGTTTTCACAGCGATGACACGATCAGCAAAAAGGGATTCCACATCCGCTACACAAGCACCAAGTTCCAGGAGAGCCTTCACACCAGGAAATGACTTTAGATGCTCCGTGACCTCTGATCTCTGTGCAATCCTGACCTTCACCATGGCAACCAGAAAAGTACAGCCTGTCCCCCCTCTTTTTGGACACTGCAGGCAGACGTGGACGTTTGCCAGCCAGAGGAGGAAGACAACACTTAAAACATTTGCCTCGCTACGTGGCTCCATATCTCACTCTGAGATGGGAAAAATAACAAGATATTAAAAAAATAAATAAATGGAGCTTTGACTAATTAGGGGAAATACGCCGAGGATTGAGTGGAGGAGATTTATCACCGGATACCTGGATACCCTCAATGTGAAGGGAGGGTGGTTGAACATGCAAACCAGTTTACTGAGATACTCTAATGGTGCAAAAACGCAACACAGGAGTATAAACACTCACATACATGTATTAGATTAATATTCACAATTATAAACTATGGATGCTTAAGGAACGAAGGCTTAAAAAAAAAAGAAGAAAATGCCTCCATTAAGGGAGTTCTTTTCTGACTCCTTGGTCCTTGAAGTGTGCAACTTATTGTGATAAGATGGCTGCTCATGTCCACAGAAACTCTACAGACATTTTTATTGCCTTTGATGCCTGGGAACTGGTCCGTTCCACCCAGCTCAGAACGGCTGCAGATGATTTGATTTCATGTCTTATGTAAAAAACAAACAAACATTGTGTTTACTGTATGTGTGTATGTGTGTACAGAGAAGAGAACAAAAACTAAAGGCTGAAGGCCGTCATGTTGTCCTTTTTGCTTAAAGCTTATGCTGACGACCATCGTGTATGGAAATAAAAAAAAGAACAATTTACGAATGATCTGTGATGCTAATGTTAAGCCTTGCATTATACTTTGTGTGTGTTTTTTTTGAGTATGAAAACCATCTTCTAACAAATGGAGCGACTTTTTATGGATGTTTTCAGTTTCCACCTCAACCTCTCGACGCCCAATCTTTTTTTTTTTCCAGTGGATATCGGAAAAGGGAATATTTTCACAGCTGTCTCTTGGAGTGACACAATTCAAAATGAAGGAGAGATTCCCATGGTGCTAAAAATAAAACTACACTGACTGACAGACGACTGCCGATGAAAGGAAAGACTTTGTAACAGAGATGCAGTCGGCGTGCAAACAGCACACTACACCAACAGCACTTGTCCTGTGGAACTACAACTTTGCCTTAGAACCAAAATGTATGCAGAGGTCGCTGTGTTGAGTCAGCGGAGTGTTTTATGAGGTTTTTTGGCAGCGAGCTTCAATCAATTTGGGTTTTCGAATGGTCTTATTGTGAAAAACAAAAAACATGGGAAATGTAGTCTGTGTGTGAGATAGTGTCAATGGTGCATGCGTGTTTGTGTGTCAATTTTTGTAGCTGTTCTCAGAGATACATAAACACACACTTACATATCCGCAGAAACACAACTCATTTGTGTGTATTTCACCCAAACACACACTTCTGTCCCCCCCGTCTTGGTATTTTCGAGCGAGGAGTGAAGCGAGGTTCTGTAAAATAAAGAAAAAACAAATAAGGTGCACACAGCATGCATCCTCTCTGTGTTCAAATGCAAATGTGTAAGTGCGTGTCATAGGAGAATATAGAGGAATAATGTGTGCGTATGAGTGTAAACTGTATGATTTTACATTGAATCTTTCATCACTGTACGTGCCAATCTCCAGGTGACCCTGATCCACTGTAGTTTTGTTTTATCATTCCACCTCAGTGTCTGTTGCTCAAGAGACACTGACATGAGTCCTCTGCATCAGTCATTGAAATAAACACTTGTATTTCTGTTTCATTGATTATTGACATTTTGTTGTTCGATCGGTTTTGTTGATCTGATTAGACGAGACAACAAGTTCTGAGCTTAGGGACAATTATTGATTCTTTAGGCTTTAAGGGTTTTTCTTTCTCTTTAACCCTCAGTTGTCATATATTATTGATTTTACAGAAATCATTTTCCATAGAGTATTGAGAGTAAATCTAGAATTGTTCGGTGTTGAATTTGAGTAATATGTAACTGATTACACAAATAAAGCTGCTGCTGCCCAGCTTAGCTTGGCTCAGCCAAAATGACGGAGCAAAGAAGGAAACAGCTCCAGTAGTCTACTGTAGCTCTTTTCAGAGTCTCTATCTGCTTATCAGCATGTCTGTCACTTACCATGTTTTAACCACTGAGACTTAGTGGTACCATTAGAGGTACTGGTGAATCAATAGGTGACTTTACATTTTTTGTTTCTCGATCATGTTTCAACTAAAGCTTCATTATAGCTATGCCATATTGCTGCCAAGTTATAATTTAAATATATGTCATCCGGGTGGCAGGAAAAAAAGGGGCCCTTACCAACACTTCCTTCACCAAACACAGTCAGATCTTTTTTGTTGTTGTTGTGCAGTAGTAGCACCGTTCACATCTGATAATGTACTGGTATTGTGACAGGCACAGTAAGAGCCAAGAACATGAGATCCATACTTTTTTTAAGGAAGTATTTAAATACTAAAAAGTATCCAAACGTATCAAGGCTTTAATAACTATATTCTAGAAACATCCATAATGTTGCTGTGCAGAAATCAACTTGACTTTTCTTTTACACATTTTAGACACAGCAGCTGAGTGATATCTGGAGGAAAAGCCACTTACCTTTATAGGATCAGTTTGATGAGCTTGGGCTGTCAACAACACACCTCCAGCTGTTAGCTGTCGCTTTAATACCATGTGACCACTAGAGGGCGCTCAGTGTGCAGGGTCACGATTATTCTGCTCTGTTTCCCGCGAAATTAAGAAGAGTTTTTTGAAGTACTAATGTTAACGAATGGTTCAAGGCAGAGTCTCTTTATTTATTTCTTCTTACTTTCTTTTGTGGAAAGCCTTCGGAGTTTTGTACACCAAACTTAATATTTGTTGTTGCCCCTTTGATATCTATTATCTCATAGTATAGATATAAAACCTTTTGTATTCTTCATTTATTTAAAAAAAAATACTTTTTATTATTATATTATATTATTTATAAATATTACAAATTTGTCATGTTGGCAAGTGATTTGTAATTTTCATCCCAAACAACATTTCAGTGGAGGGTAATGAATGCCAATCCTTCCCTGATATAATTTTCCTTATAGCCTGACCTTCTATGAGGTTAGAACTCAACATAAATCAATCACATGTCAAATTACTTTCACACCTGTTTGTGTTTCATATTCATTTTTATCATGAGTTCATGTGTGGATTTAATTTAATTTGTTTGGCTTGTAGTTTCACAATATCTGCGTATGACCGTCTAAAGATAAGACACAGCAGCAAGATCTGCTTCAATGCTTTCACTTTGGCTCCATCTACAGTTCACCTTCAGACCTGTTGTCTGACTAATATAATTATCAAAGATAAAATACAGTCCATCCAAATTACAAAAGTTCACATCTTCTTCACGTATCTATCACTGAGACTGTTTCCACCAACCAGCAACATAATGAACCCACAGACACTTGTGCTTAAAGTAGTATGGACAAAAAGCAAACGTCAGATTCTCGTGCAAAAACAGGAGCAAAAACAATATGGAATTTATAACAGATATGAAGATAAACACCAACAAAGGCCTAAATCATTCTGTAAAAACAAACCTACAAACACAGACAATCAAGGCTTTTCATTATAAATTCCACATTTTGTATTGCCTCTCTAAAAGTCAGTGTCTACATGTTGTTGTCTATAGATTAACATTCTTCTTTAAGTGCAACAATTCGAGATAAAGTGCTGAGACTTACCCATGAACCATACCTCTACTATTTAGCGATTTACATTCATAGTTTAAAAACATACAGGACAGCAACAAACCATTATCGTCATTGACTATATTTCTGCTTGTCTTGTTGTTTCTAAATGTTGTGGGACATTATTTATCTAAAGAGTACACTGTATTTATGTTATGTGCAAATATCCTGGTCACTCTTATAACCACTGACAACAGTGTCATCTTCATATTAAGAGTCATTTCATCAAATAAACAATGTGCATCTCTGATACTTGGTGCTCTTCATCTACTGAAGAAGATAAAGCAATATGATTTAATTTAAGGTGAAGTGACACATTGACCTTCGGGTAAAAAAACATTTTGTCAACTTCAGCTCACAAAGTCAAAAATATTGAATCTGAACTGTCTGATGGACGTTTAAGGACAGCTTGCAATGTGAATGTCTGTAACTCCTGGCAAATAAGATCTACTGTAGAAGATGATGGGATCTGGATGAATTCTCTAGAACAGCTTCAAATGGACCTCATGGTAAGATTGTCTTTTTGACTTCTACGATGAAATGTGAAAATTTCAGCTTGTTGAAAATACTTGATGAACTCCTTCAACAGAGGAAGATCATGTGACATAAACAAGCTGGGGAAAAGCTTCAGATCAACATTGTGGAAGGATTGCTCTGTCAGCTGCCGTTCACAAAGCAAAAAACAAAGAAACTAAAAAGAAACATGTTAGTGATCGAAACTTTTTGACTTACATATGCACCTAATGTTCTTTAAAAAAAAGAAAATTGATAAAGAACGTCTTCAATTCTCGGTGAACTCAACCTACTGTAGAAGATCATAGGATGATTGAAAGCACCAGTTCAGCTACAAATAGACCTGGTGGTTAAGATTCTTTTGTCAAAATCTTTTTCCATGGGCAAGATGAATTTTTGATCTAAACTTTTTAAGCTAACATGAGCACAAAAGAGCCCTATGAATCAGGTAATTTGAACATACAATTCTTTAAAATTAGCATACAAAGTCTTTCAGAAAAAGCTGAATTTGTATATTTCCAAATCTTTGCGAGTTCATCTGCTGAGAAAGTACACGTGATACGATTGATCGAACCTTGATTGATGAACCTTCAGCTTCTCAGGACACAGACACATTTTCTATCTCAACTTTTAAGCTAAGATAGGCAGCAGATGGCCTAGCGGTAAGGTTGCACCCCATATTGGAGGCATATAGGAGGCCCATATAGTCCTCAAAGCGGGCGGGCCGGGTTCAAGTCCGACTCTTATTTGCATGCCATTCCCCTCTCTTTCTCGTTCCCTGGTTCCCTACTCTATCCACTGTCCTGTCAATTGAAGGCAAAAAGCTAAAAAAAATCTTTGAACTTTTAAGCTAACATGAGCAGAACACTCCATAGAAGGGGCAGAACACCTTCTACTCTTCTTGGTACACTGAATCTGCTGAAGATCATGTGATATGATCAAACCCCCGAGTATTAAATAAACCTTCAGGTGAGATTGGAATTTGTAATGTTCTTCTGTGTTTGTGAGAGTGAGGTGCATCATATTCTGTCCAAACAAACTTTTGGTCACATAGCATCTTTAATACCACCATTATAATAATTAGGATATCAAAAGTATCGAGTATACATACATCATTTGCATTGCGGTACACAAATCTGAGCTGATTTATGTTTTTATATCTTTCATTCGTTGTTCTCAGGATCAACTTTTATTGTCTCGACATTGTGCTGATACATTGAATCGTCCTGAAGAACTTGACGCTATTTCAGGAAGGAGAACATTTAATTGGACATGTATTGTTAAGTAATATAAAAAGTTTTCGATATTTCCAAATGTAACTTGAATCCTATAGTCTACTACTTTCCAATACCAATAGTCAAGAATCTTGATATAAGCCAAACTAGAGTCCATGTCACCAAAATCAAAGTACTTCTTCAGATAGGTTCCTTCACCTACAGTGGTCTTGATATTCTGTAGTTGTTCTTATTTTTTTTGCAGTACAGTTCTTGAAGCTGTGGAAACAGTCTCTTGAAGCCATGCCTGTTTTTGTAACAGTCCCAGTAAATGGATTCTCAGGAGTCTGAAGATATGTGTGTGTTTGTTTGTGTGTGTGTGTGTGTGTGCGTGTGTGTTTATGTGAATGTATGGGTCGAGGGAAGCATGGTTCTTAAATGGAGAAACCCCTCACTTCTTCTCTCCTCCACCACCATCAGGGTCTTAGTCTGTCAGACGCTGGTGATTGAGGCCAGGCAGTTCGATGGTTTCTGGATTTTCTCAGGCTGCGTGGCGGGGGGTTCTGGGATGGCGCGAAAGCTGAATGGCAGTCCGATACCACTGGTGCCGATGTGGCCGGGGCTCAGCGCTGGATTCTGCCGTCTATTGCTTTCCACTATGCTGGATGTGTTGGATGCAAGGCTTTCACGTGTCCTGCAAAAGAGACAACATAAATGATAGTGGTTGGTTTAAAAGAAGACAAAAGTAAAAAACTGACACTGTTATAAACAGTTTGTGACAAGACCAAACACCACAGCCTGTAGGAAAAGAAGCTGAAAAGTGAAAGAAACGGTCAAGTGTCTTATACCGGCATTCTTTCTAGCGGCCAGCAGGAGGCAGCCCCTTTTATTACAAGAAGGAACTTAAGCCTATAAAGTCAATAGCAAAAATGATGGTACTTCTCAGTTGATTTAAACCTCTCTAATAGTTGTCCTTTTTAGTTTAATGTTTGAATCCATACTTCAATACTTCAATCCAAGTCTTCAATGCAGTATGATGTTCATTTTGCTTTTTGGAGTAAATGATAAAGCAGAGTTTGCTTCAGGATTTGGCTTCCTTGTTATTTGTAAGGCATGGAGACCTATCAATCACAATAGAGGTGCAGCAATGTTAGTTTTTAAGAGGGTTTTTATACTTGATTCAAAAAAAGAAAGTTGGCAACAGCTGAATTGAAAAATTCTGGGCTTCAAAGGATGAGTCACTAAACTAGTGGATCAAAGCCGACTCACTTATTTTAAACAGTCTATGACAATAACCACTAAATTACACTTGAAACTAACAAAGATGATCCTGTCTATAATAAAATAAGCTGGTTCTATCCATAAAAAGAGCAATAAATAAGTGTGATTTTTACACACCAGATCCTAATATCACTTTGAAAAACATATAAAAGATGGTTATGAATCTAAGTGCAAACCTTGATGGTAATGTAAGACATTACAAATCTGTGGTACATGCAAATGGTAAATGGACTTCAGCTTGTTTAGCACTTTTCTAGTCAGACTAGACTAGACTACTCAAAGCGCTATTCACACCGCAGGTCACAACTAACCATTCACACACTGATGGCAGAAGCTGCCATGGAAAGTATCCATCAGTATTAACTCATCCATTCATACACGTTCACACACACATTCACACACCACCGTCAAAGAAGTAGCAGCAGCTTGGGGTTAAGAGTCTTGCCCAAGGATACATCGGACATTATGTATCAGGAGCTGGGAATCGAACCCTAGACCTACTGATTGAGAGACGACCAACTCTTCCACTGACCCACATCCACCCCGTGTGTAAGACATGTTGTATAATTGCTAATGTTACATTATTTAGGACTTGCTATTTGTATTTCAAGAGCATGATAATGACATGTTTACTTTCTCAGAAGCCTACAGTACATATGCAGTTTTCTTAAAAGGATTCCATGAATTTTACAGATAAAGTTCAGGAGGCTGTCTGAATCTAAAAAACAAAGATAAGCCATTTGATTTTGTTGGGGTAATCTTCACTCATCATGAAACAAGACCTCAAATTTGTGCCAGAAAGCTTGTGTCACTAACTCTGGGTGCAAGTTGAAAGAAACAAAATGTGTAACAAATTGGAGGGTCCACGGACAGATTCTTCCGAGTTAAATCAAGATATCAAAGGCTCTGCTGTTTTGATTTGTAATTTCACCTTTTTGAATTTGTCATCAAGTCCTACAACTCTATAGAAGCAATATCAGCTTGTTTGTAACATTCCTATAACAATACTTAAATGGTCCACCAATGATTCACTAATGTTAAACTGCTGCACTGAGTTTTACAGAAGCACAAAAAGCTTAGATAGCTGCTACAATTGTCTATCAGATAAACACGTTTGTAATATATTTTTGCAGCCTGAAACAAAAGGACCGTTTATTCAAACACAGCGCGTCATGGTTTACAGTGATGTCACTTTCCAAGTTTAGAAAGCCATTCATTGTGATCATGATCACTTAAATACATCAGTGACACAGCATTGAAACAGCTGTGTGTTCAAAGCCTATGATTTGCCAAGTTGCTTTAAATACCGTATCAGGTATTTGTACTCAAACCAAACAGAATGTATATATTAATCTAGATTACTGTAAAACTGAAATGACAAACTAAACAATAAACTAAACTAAATAAGCTCTGAGAATGTAACCAAACAGCCATATACAATGCCTAAACGTACAAAGTGTGGCCACAATATATCTGGACCTTCTACAGAAACATCGACCCCCCCCCCCCACCCCTCCCTTGACTGCATCCTACTTTCAGAAATATAACTAGACTTCAGTTAAATATGTGTAATCTACATTTATCTGATAAGATTGCACTTTAGGAAAGTTGCAGCTAAATAAATCAGGGTTGTCAGTTGGGGAAAAAATGGCCAAAGGAAAAGGCTTGTTTTTTTTTAAAGTATGCTCTTTTTCAGGTTGCCAAAACATCTTTTTGCGACTGATCTAGTCCAAAGAAGTACATAGCTTTGGTGCTGAGTGGGAACTCCGGTCGGCGTCTTGCCTATGGTGACTACTTTAATCAATATGTACTGTAAGATCAAAGAACCCTGCTTCAAAAATCTAAAACCAATCTTCAACCTGGATGCCATTATCATCATTTGTGATGGTCAAGCGAAAAATCTCAGTTTAAAGCATACTCTGTGACAACTCTACTCATGAGACCCACCATGACAAAGAATAATAATAACAGGTTATCACATGACCAGATCCTAATTCTGGTTACAAATAAGTCTACACAGTACATTAAGGAAACCCTGGAGATGAAGAAAACCTTCAGTAAGTGGATCTTTTGGTTACCTTCATTGTAAAATTTTGAGAAACTTTTGAGAAATACAACGTGAATATCACATATGTCAGTAACTTGTTTGACAGTAATTTAGGGTAAGTTTGATTTTCGATGCAAACAAATTAAAAAGTGTCAGAGGATGATAACTAAGGAGTAAATTTTAGCTCATACCTGGGGGAGTTGAATCCACTGTCCACTGTGACGCTGCTGCTATCCATGCTGTCCAACCTGGCAGAGTGGGCCGACTTCTGACTGCTGCTGTTCTCCGTCTCCTTGGGGCTGAGTAAGGTCAGATTGGTCTCCAGTTTCCGCTGCAGATCGTGTTCCTTCTCCCGCTCCAGTAGCCACTGCATGGTTCCCTCCCCTCCACCACCGCTGCCTCCGCCATTACCACCCCCTTCCCCATGGTCTTTGTTGTCCTCTGCCTTGGCCAACTCTTTGTGCGAGTCCTCCTCTGCCTCCTCTTCTTCCTCATCGTCTGATACATTATAATAGTCAAAGGAGGCAGGGGGGACAGTTGGCTCTAAGCAGCCCTGTAAAACTGCAGGTGACGCCGAGGAAGCGGCTGAATTGGAAGGCTGCTGGGGCTCAGGATTGTCAAGGGCCTCTGTTGATTTGGCTTGTGAGGCTTTCCGCAATGTGCCGGACTTGGTGTAGCTGCTGTCCACGTAGCCTGTGGACAAGGCATTGTGTGGAGGTTTGAACAAAGTGTCCTTGCTGAAGATCTCTTTCCTCTTCATCGACATACTGCCTCCTCCCCCTCCGGGATCTACATTGTGTTGGTGTGGCGTCAAACGGGCATTTTGTACCGGCTCTGGCGTCTGGCTTGGCGTCAGTCGCACAGAGCCATTCTGTCCCTTTGCTGCCGACAAGTCCTCTTTGTACTCCATCGTGTGAGGAGAATTGAGGTGAGGCGTTTGGCGGTCAGCCGGAGAGCCCTTTCGGAGTCCCCCTGATGAGGTTAATGTGTCATATTCTGATTTTGCCTGAGGCGAAGGGGCAGTTAGGATTGTTTCATTTGACGTATTGCACTGGAAGTACTCATCTGTTGAGGGCTTAGGAGAAAGTCCCATTAGCTCATTGTACGTGGGCAAGCTGTCTCTGCTTTTGTTCCTCTCCATCGTACTCCGGATCCTTGACTCGTCCAAACTCCCTTTCCCCAAATCAGGCACATTAAAATCAGAGTGGAACTTAGCAGCAGAGAACATGATCCTTGAGTAGTGGGAGGACTTCTGCGTAGCGCGCAGGGTGCCATCGTCCGTGTAATAATGACTACGCTCCTCCAGACTGGTTTCAAAGTCTTCAGGTGCCCCCAGTGATGGGCCTTTAAGGGAGTTGTCCATTGACCGAGAGCGCTCCTTAGCCTGATCTGACCTGTCGTGACGCGACTTCCTGTCCTGATTGTGACTGTGACTTCTTTGCACTCTGGACTGACACGTCCCACGTGATGGCTCTGGGAAGGGCATTTCAGTCCGTCTTTTGGCTAGCTCACCAGAAACGTCCCATTCGGGGGTTACAGGGCAGTACGATTCCGTAATGTTGGGGTTGCTGTGGACTAGGTATGTCGCACCTCCACTTCGCCTGCGCTCCAAGGTGTACATGGCCTCCCGAGGGGAGCGAACCAATGAGTGGCTAAAGAAGCGATAATCCCTTTCCATGAACAAAAGGTCCCAGTTTGAACCCTCTGACGGGTCTCCTCTGGAGGTACGAGGCTTGCTGTGTGAGCGAGACTTACCGTGCGGGGCCCTCCTGTGGCCCCTCCCCCTTCTGCTGCGTGCACTGTGCTGGGCTGAAGATCCAGCCTTATTCTTCTGGGTACGCTCTTCCTCCAACCTCTTCATCACAGCTGTGTGCCTCGCCACATTCTCCACTGTAAGATCAGGATTGATTCGGCGGATTATCTCCATCTCCACCTCGCGGGGAATGGGCGTTGTTGGCACCTCCTCATCACGAAGAGGCCACTCCTCGGGAGGGAACTGGGCAGAGAAGGTGGCCAATTGCCTCATTTTGTCCTTCTTAAAACTCAGCCTGAAGAGCCTTAGTCCGAACCTTTTGGATTGCTTCTCGCCATTTCCGCCACCACCACTTCCTTCTTTCTTTTTGGTCAGAGTGTCAGTTTTATAAGGGAAAGAAGTGATGCTTTTGCTCTTATCAGCTGATTCTTGAGGCGGCGCTTGCTGAACAAGAGGGGGAGTGGGAAGAGGGGGATGAGGGTATGAAGGCGGTTCTCCTCGGTGCTCCTTGGTGGACGTGCTTGGTGGAGGTTCCCCAGTTTTGTGTTCCTTGGGCGGCTTACTTTGATACGAATCTTCCCTGTGCTCCTTCGGTGACTTACTTTGAAGCGCTGAGGTGTGAAGTCTGGACGAGTCCTCGCGGTATGAGTTGTATGAGTCACTGTAATTTTTGCGAGGAGGTCTTTCTCTCAGGCAGCCAGGTGTGGATGGAGTGACGGTGCCCGACTGAGGCGAAGTGCATTGCTGAGGTTGCTGCTGCTGCGGTTGTAGTTGCTGCTGCTGCTGCTGCTGTTGTGACTGTTGGGGTTGGCGCTCTGTCAGCCGATCATCAAGGTGATACCACTTGTTGTTGGTTCTGATGAGGGAAGGGGTGATAAAATACGTCTGGGGGGTGACGATGAAGTAGCCCTCTGGAGTTGGGTAGATCTTTCTCTCTCGCACCAGCATGTTCAGTGTGTGTCGCAGAACCTCCGAGCTGGGTGTAGGCACGCCTGCAGAAAACACAGATCGGACAAAGTTGAACTCACTTTGTATGTTTTGTTAAAAATGCTATTTTATTTTAGATTTTTAGAAATAAAGAATACCAAAAGCATTTAATTGGAGCATAGGGCTAATTGAGAGAAGATGAAACAACCACAGTGGACACAGAAAGAAAGCATGAGAATGTGAGTTGGAAAACATAGCACTATATATATTTAAATACGATTTCAATTTAAATGGACATTTTTTATTCTTTTATATGGTAACATAACTTATACTGCCCCCCCCCAGCTTAGCTAACGATGATCTAAGCCATTCGAAGTCCAAGACTTATATCACCCTTAATGTTGGATAGATTGTAAACTAGGGGTGGGACAAAATTTCGATATGGCAACCATAGACTGTAAATATTAATGAAAGAAGCCTGAGTGATGGCACCCATCTGTTACTGCAGGGGGTTTTGGAGTCCCATCGATGGCTATCGCCATGCTGGAAATGCTTTGTCAATCTAACTTTTAGTCAGCCTATAACTAAAGGCTGAGAGTTTGGGCTGAGGCAGGTTTTTGAGCCTCTTGCCAAACTGTTAAAGCAAACCTGCATATCGATCATTTTAACTACACACCTTATTGTGAATAACGCTCATGCTTCATAAAATCACAACGGATGAGTGATCAGAAAATTCAACCCCCGTACAGTGTTTGCAGCTTGATACATGAGCAAATCAGACCTATTTTTTTTTAACCAGGCTGTAAAAATGTTAATTTCTGCTGTAAAAACTGTCTGTTTCGAATGGGTGTGTATGTGACTTCTGATGCTTCTGCAGCCAACCTCAAGTGGAGACACGATGAACAGTAGGATTTTGCACTTCCACATTGGCTTCCATTTTTTCAACACCTGAGCTTGCCGTTTATGGCAACATATTGTTGTCCTTACTCGTGTGATCCAATTTTCGAACCGCTAGTGCCAAATATAGGTATTTTTACAAGATACAATATGGCACAAAACAGATTTCCCTGCCAATTTGACTTACAGACAAGATGAAGCCTATGACATTAAGGTGGATAAAGAGAACAAACATTAATTAGTCAAAGAAGAAGATGACTGAAGAAGACAGTTGGAAAATGTTGTACCGTGGTAAAAAGAAGCTACGGAAAAAGCCTGATAAGATGAGAAACTGACACCAAACTGCAGTGAATAAATACAGGAATCCTGCACTTTACCTTTAAAGGGGTATTTAATAGATTTCAAGTAATCTGATAATGTAATGTATCACTATATAACTGTCTCGCAATAAAACAGCTTTCCCAGAGTCGATCTCTCATGATATTATTGTTATCATGGGCTGGTATCGGGTATCATCTCCTATTGTATCATATCATGATAGTGAGATACCCTCAATTCCTATCCCCTGATTATAACTATAAAAACAATCAAACCTGTATAAAATGTATTATTAATAAACTAAATCTTCCAAGAATTTTAGTTCACCTCTTGACCTTATATTAGCTTATATAAATGGTCGATGAAATGTTAAAACTAGTCCATTTTGAACAACACCATTATAACATTGTTCTTGCAAGGCCTTTGTTGCCTGACATTACATCACCACTGAGTTCAGTTCACTCCCACTCTGGCATCTTATAGAAATAAATGATTCCCATTAAATATGACTGTTAACTTGGTTTTCAATACAGGTTAAGCTTTAAAACAGCTTTATCAGTAGTGGTCAAGTCTTGATTTAACTTTGATTACTTACTTACAAAAATGTTGTTTAAATTCAAACCAACAAAGAACATTGTGTGGGCCATGGCAAATATTTGTTAAAATTAAAAATAGAAAATCTGGAAAATATTTTTAAAAAAATCATTAAATGATAAGTTAACAATTTACGATATGACAACACACAGTTTGCTTGATATCACAAAAATATGGTTAAAAAATGACCACTGATCGGGAAGTATTATTATTATTATTTTATTTTATTTTTTTAATGAAAAACCAGGGATCCTTTAATCACTTGCGGGCAGATAGATAACAACACAGAAGCATACATTTGACTTAAAAGTCAGTTCCCTAGAAGTTATTACAGGTAGGTGTATACCTACGTCATAATCACTTTTAAAGAAAACTAGAAAGATTAATCAAGTGAAAACATGCAGAGGAGGATGGGACAGTGATCTAGTTAACTATTCTGAGTGTTATTTTGATCAAAAATACAATATCCACATTTCAGAGCACTTTAGATTTCTGCCTTATATCACGGAAGAACAAAGAGGGCAACTCTCAATTAACTTTCTAAAAATCCCCTACTCAGATAAATGACTGATAATTTCAGATGTATCTTCTGTTGACTCGTTTCAATATATTGTGTGTAGAACTTTAACGGGATTAAACCTCTTAATTCTCTATAAATCAATCATATGAGTCAGAGGTAGGATCAGTAGATGTTACAAGCCGGCTTAGGTCATTACTTCTAACCTAGTTTAAAGGTTTATGTTAGATGTGTATAAAATGATGGGCAATCTATATTGTTTGTGGTTTTCACAGGCATATTTTTCTCTGTCTACATACTATGGATTGTTGTTTTAATTCATTTTTCTTTATTGGTGCTACTGTGGATGCGGGAAATGTGTCAGGCAGGAATTCCTCAAAGGGACAATAAATCTTATCATATCGTACTGTTTATCGTATCGTTTATTGTAACAATCGTATCATCTTGTCTCGTATCGACTCGTATCGTTTTGTATCGTAGTGTATTTTGACTGTTTGAATCTAATTGATTTAGATCCACATTAGCCACTAACAAAGTAGCAACTTCTCTTCCTGGGGTCTACTCATACATGTATACAATTAGAATACACCAAAATCACATAATTACTTGTGGTGGAAAGGTTAATAAGCACAAATAAGTATAAATAGTTTTACACATGCACAGATACATTCTACATTTGTCTATACAATAACATATTAACTAAGCAGAATGTGAATGTTTTCTTCAAAGTCCCATATTCAGAAGAAGGTGAGAGCATCTTACCTGGGAAGCTGGCAGTGAGGTGCTCCACCAGAGCCTCCTGGTTGACTGGCTTGTGGGCAGAGTTCATAGCAGAGATGGCCAAGCACAAGATCTCCCCCAGCGGGATAAACTGTGACTGGCTGATAGGTGACATACTTATTGGAGACACGTCACCTGCAGGAAGAAGAGGGGGAGGGGAAAGCAAAGGCACAACAGTAAGATCATGAATGAACAGCAGGCGCAGCGTGTGAAGCTATGATGTAATGGTCAAGCAGCAGCAGTTTGCATGCTGCCTGAAACAGCTCCTCCTCCTCCTCCTCCTCCTCCTTTAGCCTCTCATTCCTCCTGTTTCTCGTAGGTTAGCATATTGAGACAGCTGCTGCAGCAGCCACATCCATAATGTGAGATCACCTGAGTCTTTGCCACTTTGTGATTCAATTCACTGTATCTCACACACACACACAAAGAAGCTTACACAACCCTTATAAATGTCAAACCTGTAGCATTTGAAATTTCACAAAACGTAACTGACTTTAACAACCACATTGAGAGCTTACGCACAGAAATTCTGTGTTGCTTTTGTTGAATTAAGCTGGCTTTGCTGAGAGTAGTGAGTGGTGAGATCATCCTACAAGCGGCCCAGCCTCAAGCCCCTCTGAAAGCAAACATCTGCCCAGCTGAAAGGAAGGAAAGCACCAAACTGAAGCCAATGCCGCAGCCTCTGACCTAAATCTGGCCATCTATTGAGAATCTCACGAAACCAGGTAGAAAATAATAAAATCTAAGCCTCCATATTTGATTTCTAACCTAACATTACGTCTGCTGATGTCCACCGATAACCAGCAGGATTTTTATCTTTATGATCATTAGTTCAAAGTTTGAATCATTCATTGGTCACATTTCTTCCACCTAAGCAGAAATGTGTGCAGGGCCAGGCCTCCTCAGCACACTCAGCTGAATGGTCAGTTAAGCAACACGATGACGTTATCTCTGCTTAGTATCACAGCCCCTTAAGCTCTATGTGGCTTTACAAGGTTTTCAGTAAACACAAGGAACATTTTTTTGTAATATCTTACATGTTTTGCAGAACTGTGGGAACACAGCAAGTCTCAGGACTACGGAAATGAGGTGGTAGTGTTCACTTGTCATATCTTATAATTAAACAAGCAAGACAGTAGAGAAAAGATGAAAATCTTTACAATAAAAGTGACCGATAGGATCAGATTTTTCATGGCAATGACATCAGTTCTTGAAATGTGGCACCCGAAGATCTTTTTTCTTATCAAAGCGAACACAAAATATGTCACAAAATGTGGCGCAAAGGTGATGCAACTGACGTATGAAACAACAACTTTTGACTTATTCAGGAATATGTTTCACAAAACAACCTGATTAAAATGGTCAAAAGTTCGTGAATGTGTGGATTTTCAGTGTTTTGCTCTGGTTTATTATATCCTTAAGAATGAAGGAGGTAGGGAAATTTGTGAGGACTTACACTTATATGTGAGAAAGTTACAGAAATTTGGACTGAGTGAGATTATGTTGAAGTCATTTTATCAAAAGACATCTACATTTTCTATAGGGTCTATGATAACAATTCTTTTTTTGATAAACTAAATGACAACATTTTTCCAGTTTTAGTTTTACTATTTGACCTCATTTCACTCATAAGACGAGTTATGGAAAGGTGATACTGTAGTCACCAACATTTCCTACTTGGTCTCATGAAAACATTTACCCATTTGAACTTTGCCCCCAATCAAAAATCGTCTTTGCAAACTCTGAGCACCTCTGCAGAGCGAGATGGTGGCGATTCTGTGGGTGGGAGGATAGGACTCACCTGGCGCACGATAACTTGGCGGGGACGGAGAGAAATGAGGAGGAGGAGGGGGAGGAAGATGCTGCTTCTGCACACGGATGTCTTTCTCACTACGGGAGAGATTGTGCTCCAGCGGGCGCTCGCTGAGCTCCGAGCTCGGCCAGGCCCGCCGCAGATTGCTGCTGCGGTTCTTCTTCATCGTGACCCCTTTACCAGGTGGCCTTCAAACCTGGGGGATGGGGGGGGGGGGGGGACTTCTAGGATAAGAGTGTGTGGGGGGGGAGTGGGTGGGGGGGAGGGGAGGGGGGGGGGGGGGAGCGGGGTTGGTATAAAGGGGAGAATGGGGTAAGGAAAGAGGGAGGTGGGAAAAGGGGGGATGTGCAGGGGGAGGTCGACCAACCTCAGGCTCAGTGCCTCCCCCGCATCAGTAAGAACGTCCCGCTAGAGCGATCACACACCAGACATGGCAGGAACCAGTGTGCACCTTCTCACACACACACGTCTCATTTACATCCACAAGAAAGCTACAAACGACTGTGTTCACACTGTGGGTGGTTGTCATCGGCTGCTGGGCTCTCCCAGGCTGATCTGGAGCAATGGCAGCGGTGGTGGAGGTGCAGGTGATTGCGCGAGGCATCACCCTTTCATCGGCATCAGTCCCAGCCACCATTTGTAGCATCCCCATTTGCATGCGTAGGGAGGCACATTACGTAGCCGCTCTGATGTGGGAGGAGGGAGCGGGAGAGAGGTGGGGGGGCAGGGGTAGAGATGAGGGAAATGGGGCATTGGAAGCAAGGAGGACGGTGAGGAGAGGTTTCAGTGGAGGCTTTTAGGATCCGCTCGTTCCCTTTTTTTGGGGAAGGCAACAGGGAAAGACAGGAAAAGGAGGGAGGGGATGGATGGAGAGGCAAAGATTCAAAGCTTAAGAGGCCCAGTCTTCGACAATAGCTCAATTCACCACAGGAGTGCTCGGCCGATCCCCGGAAAACAAAAGAGCTCACTTAAAAAAAAAGAAAACAAATAAAAGCTCCATTCACCCTAACGGGCTGTGAAACCTCAGTAGTATGCCAAGCACCGGAGACGCCACGTTCACCTCCATCTTTATCCGATCAAGCACAAGACCCCATCGTCCTTTCGACAACAGCTCACCAGGAGAGGGTGGGGAGAAAAAAATGGAGAGCATAGAAATAAATAAATAAATTTCAAGAATAGATATCCACCGTTTCCCGCAATCCAACGGAAGAAGAAGCTCCTGAGCCTACCGCCGTAGCATCCATTCATTAACAGGAGGGGGGGGATGCAAACTCCAGTCAACGGCAAATCTCTTTCAACGCTAATGCTGCAGCTGCTCCCAGCACCTCCAGGAAGGGTGTGTGAGTATGTGTGTATATGTGTGTGTGTGTGTGTGTGTGTGTGTGTCTACGTGTATGTGTGTGTGTGTGTGTGAGAGAGAGAGAGAGAGAGAAAAAGTGTGTATGCGCGCATCCGCCTGCTGCGCGTGATTCTGCGTGAGCATGCATGCGTCTGTGTCTGGGTGATTGAGGCTGAGGGGAGGGGAGGAGAGGATGCAAGAGAGAGAAGGATAGAGAGAGAGTGAGAGAGTGAGAGAGAGATCGAGGACATACATAAGGCAGAGAGGAGAGCAAATATCAACAGTTTCACACACACACACACACACACACACACACACACACACACACACACACACACACACACACACACACACACACACACACACACACACACACACGGAAAATAAAAATATTCAGGCCTCAGATGATGTCCAGGGAATTGCTCCAGCTCTGAATCTTTGGCTAAATTTGCATCCTCACTCCCCTCTCCTTCCTCTCTAGTTTCCTCCCATCTCAAATGATTAGGGGCCTCTTAAATCAGCATCTTTCCACTTTTTGCATCTGTAAGAACGAATTTCAACACTTTACTGGGCCAAAAGGGAATCATATTTGTTTGTGTCTTCTTTACTTTTTTATTTTTGTTTTTCCCACCGGTTGATTCATTGGAGCTGTCATTGAAAAAGAGAAACCCAAAACGTTACCTTAATCCTTCCCAAAGTGGCAGCTTCTGCTTCTGCTCTTCAGACTGCTGCTGACTCACATGTGAGGAGTGTGAATGGACAGTTGGAGGGACAAGAATAAGGAGCAAAAGTGAGAGGGCAAGACAGGCCACAGGATGGGTGGAGGAGGAGGAGGAGGAGGAGAAGCAGGAGGAGGAGGAGGAGGAGGAGAGAAGGGAGGGATGGTGTCACAACCAATCTGCTCCAGTTCACTGATACCAAAGAGAAAGAGGAGAGGAGGGAAGGAGGGGTGAGGAGGAGAGGAGGAAGAGGAGGAGGAGGGGTGAGGGAGGGAGAGAGAGCGACACCACGCCAGCCATTTTATTTCTCAGTAGTGCTGCAACAGTGTTTGTTGCCATGACGACGCAAGCCGATGAGCTCATAGCTGTTACCTTTGAGTGCCGTTCCCCTTAAAGAGGCAGCGAAGTAAAGATAGAAGCAGACAGACGGCACATAGATGAGCACTGTCTGTTACACTGAGAAAACACTCCTGCTCCTCTGCCTGACATCCTTTACCACTATTTGTTCACTATGATGCACAATAACCTGACAGGGAGGACAATTTGCAGGATGTGCTGATAGATATGAAGATAGCCTATATAATAAACAATAGATATTATGATAGGTATGAAGATACCCCTTTTTTCTGACAAAACAGAGACTACAGACACATAAATGCTTGCTTTAATCCCTTGGAAAATGCTAATTTGAAAGTCTGAATAATCGTTAAACTAAAAAAAGAAAGTCAGCCAAAAGAAAATGAAGAAAATTCTGATTATAGATTATTTAATTCATTAATCGGTAGAAATGCGATTAATGAATTAAATGGGTGAATCTACACATTATTCATTTTTTTGTATTTTTTGAAATACTGCTCAGATAAAACAGGTCATTTTAAAATTCAAATCAAGATTTTTAAAACTTTACATCTTGTTGACACAAAGATCCAAAAAACAATTAGACAATGAATTGATAAAGAAACTGCTGAATCTAGTTGGAGCTCTAGAAGTGATCCATCATACATCCATCAGGATTACTAGATTGTTACATGAATATCTGTGCCAAATTTAAAAACCATCCATCGGCTAGTTATAATAGCATTTCACTTACATTTGCTTATGTCATCATTGTGCTTGAGGAAAAGTCAAGGGTTGTCCAAAGTTAATAGGTTACATTTTCAGGGGTAGAAAAGTCAGCACACTAAACGTCCTTCAAGTTTCCTTTATCTGGGTAAGATCAGCGTAAAAAACAGCAAACAGTTTCAGCGCTAGGCCTTCTTCAGCATTGAGCAGTGAAATGCGTACGTTGTTGTTTTGTACGCTGCACCAATATCGCTTTCAAGCGCTCAGCAGCCAGGATAAATACTATAAAAAGATGATACTGGTTCAGTGTGGTTTTAACATAGTAATATCAACAGTGGGCTAGTAAACTGTTCTAGTCCCAAACTGCCAGGCCATAGCATAGACTTTATAAAACATGGACGTAGTCTCAGTGACGTCACCCACTGGTTACTCGAGGGTATTTTTGGAGCCCAACGATGGCGGTCAGCGTATTGAAAATGTCGTCTCAAACCTGTAACCTAGTTACAGGCAAGGGGTGGAGCTGAGATGGGATCCCATCAAACAGCTCAAATGGTTCCCGCTTGCTGTCCACCTGCTATCAGTCATGCCCCTAATAATCCATAACTCTTATCCTTCATAAAAAAGTACGAGTTATAATAAAAAATCATGCCCTGCGTGGTATGTGCGGATAAATACGCAAATTCTGACCACAATTGTTTTTTTAGTGTGAACATATTTATCTCTTTGGTCAAAATGGGCATTTTAACATTAGCGTGTGTGTTAGTTCCGGGGGCTTTTGGAGCGACCTCCAAGTGGACACTCGAGGAACTGCAGCTTTTCACACGTCTGCATTGGCTTCATTTTCAACACCAGAGATTGCTGCCTGGACCACAGAGAATATGTTGGCCTGTAACTTCCCTGTGAATGGCACCATTTGTGTCGATGGGCCGCCCTCCAGTGGAACATTTATGACAACACATGCTTTTCATAAAGTTAGCTCTCATGGCCAGACACTAAATACAACCTTTGTCCCTCTTTTCTTTTTTTTTTTTTTTTTACCACAACAGCCTACTTGACACATCCTGATCTGACATTAGATATATGGCGACAAATCTGTCTGCTGCATTAAACATTTCCCCCAATTCTCTGTAGGGACCCTCCCTTTCCTTCCAGTGGAGATGTGTTGCAGCAGGGAGTGCAGTGCAGGAGTGCTTTCCTGAACAAATGCTCCACTTTTCCTTCCTCCTGAGCGCAAACTCCTCCCAGTCTATTGTTTATAGCCTGCTAACGGATACTAAGTCCCTCAGTTAATCAGATTGAGCAGTCAGTTTTAACAAAACACCTTGATTTCACACAGTTGAAAAACCACAACTAAAGTCTAATTGTATTAATCCAGCTACATGTTGGCTCTGAGCCCTGTAGTCACACATTCTCGGGCGGTTTGGGGGATAATCTGTAGTGTTCAAACATGGAGCCGTGACTTCAAAATGAATTTCTCAAAATGATTACTGAATCCTGATTAATCTAAAAAAAATGGCATTGTGACTCTTTTTTAAATGATGGAGATTTCAAACCACAGGTGGTGTGTGTGCATTTTAAATGAACTTATTCGTCCAATATCTTGTCAGTACTGCGTATTTTCAAAATAAGGCCTTCAGCATACACAGTTATTAATCAGACTAAAGCTCAACTTTGTCTGAACTTTGTTGTTGTTTTTGTTGTCACGAAAACTCTAATCTTGACACTTAAGCCAAAAGAATAAGTCAATGAAACTTGCAGCTGATAATAGAAATCAAAACTGCTGTGGTCCACTGAATACTTTGATCAATACTCTACCAAAATAATCTGAGCGATTCAAATGTTTAGAGCTTTTTTTTTTTTTTAGGTGCGCTCAAGAGAAAAAAATTGTTAAAATTTAACTCCCAGTTGAATACACACGAGCTTATTATTTAACAAAAGACTGATTATGCAGCTCAACAGTGCGGCGTCCGCTCAGGTGAGTTTGAAAACACAACCCCTGCACATTGTTTAAGGCATGGTCTGATTTTTCACTATAGGTCGTGTTCTGTTTGTTGAAAACTTGATATGTGTACTAA